TATTTTGTAATATATAAGATAAAAAACGTATCATTAAAATTTTTAAAAATTATTAGTATTGTAATTTATACACAATAAAATTAAATTACAAATATTATAATATTACAAATATTCTACATCGGTTTTTAGTCAACCAGACGTAGAAAGTACTTTCCACGTCGGACGTTGAAAGTTTTTTTGTTTTAATTTTTTTCACCAAAAAATTCATTTAAATTAGAGAATTGTCAGCTGACGGATTCGAACGCAGTATTTTAGAATTAAAAACTAATACCCTAACAACTAAACTACTATAATATTTTTATAATAACTTACAAATAAATATATATATCAGTGTAAAATATATATTTATTTGTATATATTTTCTGGAAAGTGTTTTTTTTTTCACCAATAATTCACTTAAGTTAAAGAATTGTCACTTGACGACATTTGAACCCGAGCATTTTGAAAACTCACTCAATACACACTTTCACCTTCGAGCATGCTCTTACATCCAACATATAAAATATAAATATATAAATATATAACTATATAAATATATAACTATATAAATATATCAAAATATATAAATTGATATATTTGTATTTATATATTTACACGGATATATATTTATTTTGTATATAAATATAATTTATTTGTAAGTTATTATCGAGAAAATTCTAGTAGCTTAGTGGTTGGAGTATCAGCCTCCAACTCTAAGGTATTGGGTTTGAATCCATCGGTGACAATTCTCTTAAAAAATTAATAAACTTCTAAAAAATATAATATAAAAGAGAGTGGGGACCTGGACTCCCTGTAAAGGGGTTGTAAATAAATAAAAATTATTAATTTGAAAAATCGGACTTTCAACGTCAACTCGGTTCAACAACCGAGCGTGGAAAACCTTATTTGTAGTATGTAATTTTCATTTTGTTAATATTGAGACCAAAATTTATTTTTAAAGTATATTTTAAAAAATAAATTACTTTTAAAAAATAAATTGTAAAAAATATACTAAAACAATTAAAGTATATTTATAAAAAAATAAATTTAAATATAATAAAAAAATAATAATCATTAGCGACCAATTTCAATTCGGTCGCTATTTTCTCATTAGCGACCGATTTCAATTCGGTCACTATTTCAATTTGTAATTCGGTCGCTAAATAAAAAAATGAAACCAAATCATATTTCGGTGGTTAAAGCGGTCTCTAAATCGGTTGCTAATTGCGACCGAATTAAATTAGTCGCTAAATCGGTCACTAATTGCGACCAAAATTAAATTGGTCGCTAATTTCGGTCGCTAAATGTGTTTTTTCTTGTAGTGGATGAAAAACTTAGAACTGAGAATTTTGGAAAGTTCGTCTAGCATATGATGAAACCTTAAACATCGCAATCATGAGATATATAAATCTTAAAAATTCTACTAGTATAGTCTATACATTGAAGGATGTCATATATATTCAAGACTAAAGAGAATGGTAATCTTTGTGGGCATGTGGATGTTCAAGGATATCGAGTCATATTCGGAGAAGGTAAATGGAAGGTGGTGAAAGATAATCTAACTATTCCTCATGGCTGGAAGAAAGGAACCATATACATGGCAGAATTACCTACAGAAGTAGTGAATTCAATTAGTGGTGATGTTGGTTATCCTTCGACTCTGTGGCACTAAAGATTTCGTTGCATGAGCGAGAAGGGTATGAAGATATTAGTCTCAAAGGGGAAGATTCTAGAATTGAAAAAGGTAGAAGTTGGTTTATGTGAACCTTGTGTGTCTGGGAAGTAGAAAAAAGTTACTTTTGCTACGTCAGGAGGATGCCCAAGGTAGATAGGTTAAAACTTGTTCATATAGATATATATGGGTCAACATCAGTCTTATCATGAGGAGGATCATAGTACTATGTCACCTTTATTGATGATTTCACTAGAAAGGTATGAGTTTATTTTTTGAAGCAAAAATCATAAGTATTTAATACCTTTAAGAAATGGAAAGTCATTGTTGAGAATGAGACAAGGTTAAAAATTAAATGTTTAAAGTCTAATGATGTTGATAAATATAATAGTACTAAATTTGTTTATTATTATGTTGAGAATGTAATTAAAATGCTTAAAATTATTCCTGAGACACCTTAACAGAATGATATTACTGAAAGAATGAACAAGACTTTGAATGAGAAGGCAAAGAGTGTGAGAACTCATGCAGGGTTACCGAAGATATTTTGGGCAGAAATAGTGAGAGTATAACAACATACCACATTAATCGAGGACCCTCAGTTCCCATAGGGTTCAAGATTCTTGAGGACGAATGGCAAGGTAAGGATGCAACTCTTTCTCATTTAAAAGTAATCAATTGTGTTTCTTATGTTCATGTTAAAGATATTGACAGGGACAAACTTGACCCGAAAGCAAGAAAGTGCATTTTCATGGATATGGAGCAGATGATATAGAATTTCGCTTCTAGGATGATCAAAACAAAAGTATCATTAAAAGAAAAGATGTTACATTTAATGAAAATACAGTGTACAAGGGCAAACTTTTGACTAACCTACCAGCAAGAAAGAGGGCATTGCAGAACAAGTAGTGGGTGTTCAAGATTAAGAAATAACATGATGACAACAAGATAAATAAGGCAAGGTTAGAGGTCAAAAGGCTTTCATTAGAAAATATGTATGACTATAATGAGATTTTCTCTTCTATAGTTAAAATGACTACCATTAGACTTGTGTTAGCATTATGGCTGTAGAGGATGTACATCTAGAGCAGCAAGATGTTAAGATACCATTCTTACATGGTGACCTTGATGAGAACATCTACATGGTGCAACCAGAGGGTTTCCAAGTGGTAAGGAAAGAGAACTTGGTTTGCAAGTTGACCAAGTGTTTGTATGGGTTGAAGTAAACACCTAGACAGAGTGGTACTTGAAATTTGATTGTTTTATGAGTAGGAAAGGGTACAAGAAGTGTGTCATGGATCAATGTTGTTAGTTGCAAGTTCTAATATGGATGAAATTAATAGATTGAAGACATAGTTGTCTGAAGAGTTTGAGATGAAGGATTTATGTATTACTAAGCAGATTTTGGGCATGAATATTAGTAGGACAAAATTTGAAGGTTCCCAAATATTATCTTAAGAAAAGTATATTGGGAAAGTGTTAGAGAAATTTAGTATACAGGATGTCAAAATCGTAAATACACCTTAAGGAGTTTACTTTAATCTCACTAAAGAATAATCACCTAAGACAGATGAAGACAATGCAATAATGACTAAGGTTCCTTATGAATCTACAAATGATAGCTTAATGTATGCAATGGTATGCACTAGACCAGACATTACTCATGCAGTGAGAGTTGTTAGTAGATCGTGCTACTTAAAAAGTACTTCTAAAACTGCATTATGTTTCAAAAAATATGGTATCAGCTTATAAGGATATTTTGATGCAGATTTGGGGAGTTGTTTAGACACAAGGAAGAACACTACATGATTTGTTTTCACAATAGGTGGCCCAATAGTTAGTTAGTTGGATGTCTCGACTTCAGAAAAGTGTTGCACTTTTAACCATAGAAGCAGAACACATGACTATTTCGAAAGCTAGTAAGAAAATGGTTTGATTGAAGAATTTTCTTGAAAAGTTGGACAAGAAGCATTATGATAGTGTTTTTCATAGTGATAGTCAAAGTGTCATTCATCTTGTGAAGAATCATATTTTCCATACAAAAACAAAACATATCTAGTTGAGATAATCACTTCATTATACAGTTAATAAGTGATAATCTGTGTTTGGAGAAGATCTTGAGTCAAAAAATCTCACTAATATGTAGACCAATGTGGTTATTATAGTTGAAGTTTTGCATAGTTTCAACTGGTTTTCATGAGATAATTGTTAAGAAGACATCACACTAACTAAAAAATTTTATAGCTTTTAAATTTACTATATCTATTTTTAAGTATAGTTGATATGATCAACCTCCAAGTGAGAAATTGTTAAAGATATAAAATCTAAAGGGTTATTAGGTCTAACCTATTTATTTACTCTTTTATTATAAATGCTCATAATTATAAACCTAATTAAGAAAATAAGAAATATAATTAACTACAGCTGTAGATATAAATCATTTTGACTAAATAATGTAAATTTTGTGCTCTTATTTGTTTTCGTTTTGTAATATTTTTTTTTTTTTTAACATGTAGTATCCGGGAGAAATAAACAGCCAAACGATGGTGGACTGAAAAAAAAATTGTAAATTCAACACATTTTAGCCTGTGTTCTATTTTATTTTATTTGCTTGTCTCATATCTTATCAAATTCATTAATGACAGATTTTGTGGGAGGGAAAAGAATGATAAAATTAAACTCATTTATTTAATAACACAAAAATGAGAAAAATAAAATAAATAGATGAATGAGTTACTTTTTTTTATTTTTTTATCCATTTTATTTAAACTCTAAAAAATTGGTGTCGTCTTGTAATGTTATTTGGCCTATATATGGATTAAAATGATTTTGTTGATAGCTGATAGAAGATCTAAAAATATTTATTATCAGATATAAATTATTAATGTGAATCAGTTTTAGATGTTTAAAATTGTCCTGAAGACACTTATCAGAATCTTTTTAATTAAAATTTATTAATTATATTATTATAGTGAGGAAAGAAAGATATTTGGGTACTTGGGTTTTGAATTGAGCCTAGTCCTTTTCTTTTCTTTTTGTTGTCATTCTCCATTCTCCATTCTCCACCCCGCAATCACCAATTACACATTATTTCTATATTTCAATTCTTATTTCGCAGATCACCTTTTTCTTTTCCTTTTTGAAGAAATGATCATATGATGTCAATTTTGGGGAAATTCGTGTCAACGAATTACCCATTCCAATGGTTTTTAATTTTTATCCAATAAATATGAATATCTCTACCATTCTTTCTGTATTTTGATTGCACCTCGATTATTTGTTATGGAGTTGTAATTTGTGCAAAATTTTATTTGGGGCCTCTGGGTGGTTGGCAGGCATTTTCCAACACATGGCTCCTAATCCGAGGCCCAAGTTGCGTGTTCCATTCTTCATGTTACTGCTGATGCTTGTTTCCTTTGGTTGTTCCAACGCTGAATGGGAACAGAAGCCCGGAGCTGCTATACATAAGAATGTGATTGATGGCTCTGGTGTGGAGAATTCCCTCAAGTTCGAGGAAATCAATGGCAGAAAAGGTGGTGGCAGTAGTAGAGTTTCGGTTTCCACGGTTGCATTGTTCACATTAGCAATGGCAGCTGCCACTGGTTTAGGTGCTGTTCCCTTCTTCTTTGTGGAGCTTGATCCACAATGGGCAGGGTTGTGTAATGGAATGGCAGCTGGTGTCATGTTGGCTGCAAGCTTCGATCTCATACAGGAAGGTCAATATTATGGTGCTGGAAATTGGGTTGTCATTGGGATTCTAGCTGGTGGCATCTTTATTTGGTTCTGTAAGAAGGTAGGTACCATAATCTTTCTTGATTGTTGCTTCTATTTTCATACATGTCTTTCTCTGAATCCACGTTATGGTGAATTTGAAAAGCATTTTGATTACCTTTTTTACTCACTTGTTTATGCTTCATAAATAAGAAATGCCTAAGGTGCAGACGAGTTGGTAGTAAATATATCACTCCTATAAAACAATCTAAATGGTTAAACTCTTAGATAGTATGAATTATATCGTACTCTGGCTCATCCTTTACTGTTTTCTTGGGGAAGGAATAAACCAGCTGGGAAATTTTCTTGTGTCTTGGAATTTCTAATCTGAAAAACGGCTTGCATACTTTTGTTAGAAGGCATCATTAGCAATTTTAAGTGATCCTTGTACTTTAAGGATTTGATAAGTTGAAAATATAGTTCTCATTTCGAGTGGGTTTATCATGATCTCGTTTGTGTCTCACATAACCTATTGTTTTTCAGCTTCTTGAGCAATATGAGGAAGTAAGCATGTTGGATATAAAGGGTGCTGATGCAACCAAAGTTGTTCTTGTAATTGGAATAATGACTCTACATTCTTTTGGGGAAGGATCTGGGGTTGGGGTCTCCTTTGCTGGTTCAAAGGGTTTCTCTCAAGGCTTATTGGTAACTTTGGCTATTGCTGTACATAACATTCCAGAGGGATTGGCTGTGAGCATGGTGCTGGCATCAAGGGGTGTCTCTCCACAGAATGCTATGTTGTGGAGCATTATTACATCGTTACCTCAGGTACATATTAATCTGAAAACTAATAATCGTTACATTGTGAAGGGGAGAATATTATGAATTTAGTCATGATATCAACTTGAATTTTGAAGAGTTTCTATTCTGAAATTAAATGTAAATAGTTTGTCCCATCAGCCTGTTGTCAAAAGTCTTTTGTTTTCTTCTGTATTTGAGATGTAGTATGTTAATATGATGCATATGACTATGTCTGGGTGGCTCTTCTGTGTTGCATGTGCAGTATTTAGGTATGCTTTAGTCTGATTCAAACGAGGGGTTTTATATGTTAAGATAAGAGTCTTTGGTTAGCAAGTCGGCCCTTTTGTATTGATAAATAACACTGATGACTAGACTCGTAAGTGGTATCACTGTTGGCTAACTTCAGCTAGAAATTCTAATACGTTCCTTGTTTTATTACAAACCATGTCAAACATTTGCTAGAGATAGCTTGAACTTATCAAATATTCTTGTTTGAAATATAATTGCATCCCTTGTAAAATTGTTTGTGCCTTAGACCATCTATAGTTGTAGAACTTGTAGTTGAGTTCGTTAGCATTATCAATATCTCCTAATACTATATTGATTTGTATATTATAGGTTTGGAATTGTGTATAAAAGGAGACAGTTATAACCTCCTGTAGATGTTTTTCAATGTACTTGATTATTATAAATAGTCAAGGTTTTATTGGGAAGGGGGCAATTAGTTTTTCTAAGAAGGAAAGAAGTTGTGGAAGAGTGAGGTCCTCTCGAAAAATCCTCAATTGTTGTACCTTATTGTTGTTATCTACCACATTGGCAAAAACAGTTTTCTTAGTAATAAAGTGATTCAAGAATCTGTCTTAAATGTTTCTGTAATTACAAGTTGTTCTATCAACTAGTATTCAAAGTCTCTTTCTTGGTCCTGTGGTAGCTGTGTGGAGGCTTATGGTTAACACTAGGATGGAGTCAAGACTCGACGCTTTAGACCGTATGTTTCAAGAAGTTGTGCGTGATAAAGATAAATCAGAGAATAAACAGCATGAGTGTTTGCAACGCCTGGAGAATATGATTAGTGGCCTTATGGTTGTGGTGGAGAAGATGTCAAGTGCGTCGACGTCTGGGCAAAATAAGAATGTGATTACACCAAAAAAATATCTTGAACAAGATCAAGATTGCCAGTCGAATGGTGGGTAATAGTGGCATAAATTCGACATTCTCATATTTGCGGGAGATGACGCTTTTGTTTGGACCAATAGGTTGGAGAGATACTTTTGCCTGCAAGAAGTATATGAAGTGGAAAGAATGCAAGCTGTGATGATAGCATTGGAGGGAAAGGCCTTAAATTGGTTCCAATGGTGGGAGTCTTGCAATCGAAATCCCACCTGGGAATCCTTTAAACTAGCAGTGGTGTGATGTTTTCAGCCCAACATGTTGAGGAATCCTTTTGAGGTGCTCATTGCGTTAACTCAAACTAATTCGGTGAAGGATTACATTGAACAATTTCAGCACTATGCAAGGTTGTTAAAGGGAATTGATCAAGATTATCTCATTGGGATATTTTTTAATGGATTACGGAAGGTTGAGGTAAAGCTATATGATCCTTTAAATTTGGTAAAATTAATGTTAAAGACTCAAATGGTGGAAGACAAAATCAGAATTTTGTCTAAAGGGAAAGGATCAGTGGTAAATAGGAGTGGTTCCGGTACCAAGATTAATTGGATAACAAGAACCTTTTCAAGAGAAGGTGGGACTCAATTACCTCTTCCGAATAGAGGGAAAGAAGAAGGAAGAGATACAACCAATCATCCTGCTAAAACTCAGGGCTTAAACCGTAATTGTGGATCATCTTTTAGAAGGTTGACAGATGAGGAGATGCAAGATAAGATTAAAAAGGGATTATGCTTCTGATGTGACAAGAAATATGATCCTAATTATGTATGTCGAAACAAACAATTCCACATGTTATTAGTAAACGAAGGAGTAAATGAGGAAGATGGTTTACTAGAAAGTAAGGAGTAGTTGGTGGAAGGAGAAGGAGAGGAAGATGCTAAGCTCATGCAATTGTCCATGTGTACCTTGGCGGGACTTACCATCAAGAAATCATGAAAAGTTTGGGGAAATGTTGGAAAAGAAAAAGTTGTTGTGATGTTGGATTGTGGGGCATTCCATAGTTTTCTATCTAAAGAATTGATTAACAGAATGGAAACTCCCACTTATGTGGTGGATGTTAGGGATGGCCAAAGGATACAATGTCAAGGGAAGTGTGTAGATTTTGTCTTGGAAATCCAAGGCTTGAAGATTTAACAAGAATTCTTCATTTTTGAGATTGGGGGAGCGGATATTATCCTGGGGTTGGAATGGCTAGCCAATCTGGGGGAGGTTAAGGTTAAGGCTAATTTTGGGAAGTTGAAGCTTACCATTAGCAGAGGGGATGACAACGTATGGTAATAGGCGATCTAGCCTTGTCTACTACTGCAACCTCATTTAAAAAATTGCTCAATGAGTTGCAGACAGGGAATAAGAGGTTTTTGGTTGATATGGTTCAGGATCACAATGTTGAAGGAACCAATGCAATTCCGACAGAAGTGGAAAAAGTGTTGGCATCCTATATGGAGGTTTTTCAAGAATTAGGAGAACTACCTTCTAGCCAATAACAAGACCATGTTATCCATCTCAAAGAAGGAGCTTCCATCCCAATATTAGGCCTTATAAATGTTCGCACTACCAGAAGGATGAGATTGAACGCTTGATTCGTGATATGTTGAAGAATGGTATTATTAGGACTAGTATTAGTCCCTACTCCAGCCCTATAATTCTGGTGAAGAAAAAAAAAATGGTGGGTGGAGATTTTGTGTGGATTATAGGGCTCTTAACAAGATGATCATTCTGAATAAATTTCTTATTCTAGTCATAAGTGAGATGTTGGATGAATTGGCTGGAGCTAGTATCTTCTCTAAACTGGATCTCAAATCTGGATATCACCAGATTCATATGAAGGAAGAAGATATTGAGAAGACAGTTTTTCGGACACATGAAGGCCACTATGAATTTTTAGTCATGCCCTTTGGGTTGACAAATGCCCCAACAACCTTTCAATCACTTATGAATGAGATTCTTAGGCCCTTATTAAGAAGGTTTGTATTAGTGTTTTTTTTATGATATTTTGGTTTACAGTTCTTCCTTGGATCTACACCTCCAACATTTATCACAAGTATTGCACTTGGTGAATGATCATAAGTTGAAGGTTAATAAGAAGAAACGTAGTTTTGGCCAAGACAGAATTGAATACTTGGGCCACGTGATTTCAAGGAATGGATTATCAGCTGACCCTAAGAAGGTTGAGGTTATGTGCAATTGGCCAAGACCAAAGGATGTTATTGCTTTAAGGGGCTTCCTTGGATTAACTGGTATTATAGAAGATTTGTCTAGAACTATGGAAAATTTGTTCAGCCTTTGACACAATTGTTAAGGAAGGATGGGTTTAATTGGTCTTTTATGAAGCCCAACAAGCCTTCGAAGCATTAAAGGTTGTTGTGTCCCAATTGCCTACATTAGTGGTACCATATTTTTCCAAACCCTTTGCGGTTGAGACAGATGCTTCTAGCAAGGGATTGGGTGTTGTTTTGTTACAAGAAGGCTAACCGTTAGTCTTCTGGAGTCAAGCTTTGTCCGAGAGAGGGCAAAGGAAATTTGTTTATGAACGTGAATTAATGACAGTGGTTCAAGCGATGCAAAAGTGGAAACACTACTTGATGGGTACTCATTTTACCGTTGTCACAGATAAGTAAAGCTTGAAGTTTTTGAATGAGCAGAAATTGTTGACAGAAGAACAATTTAGATGGGCTCCCAAGCTTATTGGGTCTGATTTTTACATTAAATATAGACTTGGAAAAGAGAATATGGTTGCTGATGCATTGTCTAGACAAGTTCTTTTCAATATTTTCATTCTACAGCCCTAAGAATGGGAAGATTGGATATGGAAATGCAAAAGGATGTGAAGATGAATGTCATCATGCAGGACTTGCTAGTGGAACCTACTTCTCATGAACATTATGAGATGAAGAAAGGGCGGTTATATTACCAAGGCAAACTAGTTTTGCCTAGGCACTATAGTAGAATTCCTACCATAATCGAAGAGTTGCATGAATCCCCTCTAGGAGGCCACAACGGTTACTTTTGCACTCTTAAAAGAATTGCAGGTGTTTTATATTGGGAAGGAATGAGAAAAGATATTAAGGCCTTTGTGATGTAATGTGAAACTTGCCAATGCAATAAAAGTGAAACTTTAGCCGTTGTTGGCTTATTACAACCTTTGTCAGTTCCAACTCAAGTGTGGTCTGACATTTCCATGAATTCCATTGAGAGTCTACGTAAAGCTAAAGGGAAGGATACTATTTTTGTGGCGGTAGACAGATTCACGAAGTATGCTCACTTCTTTGCCTTATCACATCCTTACACTGCTGTAGATGTGGCTCAAATTTTTGTAAAAGAAGTGGTTAGACTCCATGGGTTTCCTTCCACAATTTTGTTAGACTAGGACCAATTATTGTTTAAGCCAATTTTGGAAGGAGTTGTTTAAATCGGCAGGAACAAAGTTGAATATAGCACGACATACCATCTACAAACAGATGGCCAAATGGAAGTGGTAAACCGTTGTTTGGAGACTTACCTAAGGTGTATGACAGAAATCTCAACCTAAGCTTTGGCCTACTTGGTTACCTTGGGCTGAATTTTGGTTTAACACTAATTACAATGCCTCTTCAAAAATGATTTCATAAGAGACTTACCAAGAGCAGAATAGATTTCAAGCCAATAAACACATAAGAGAAGTCACCTTTGAAGTGGGAGATTGGGTCTTCTAAAGATTCAACCTTATCCATTCAAGTCCCTTGCAAAACGGCCTAATGAGAAATTGCGTCCTAGATTCTATGGTCCTTATGTTCTAGAACGCATTGGCCAAGTAGCATATAAGCTGTTACTCCCTGAACACAGTCACATCCATCTGGTTTTCCACGTGTCTCTACTCAAACCAGTTGTGAGGACGATACTAGCATCACAACCCTTGCCTCCTATATTATCCGAAGACTACATATTGGAAGTAACCCTTGAGAAGCTATTGGATACTCGCCTTAATTCAAGGGTTTGATAGAAGTTCTTCTCAAATGACATCAACTTCCAGACCTTGAGAATAGTTGGGAATTTGCTGCTATTAAGAAAGAGTTTCTAGATTTTCACCTTGAGGACAAGGTGAATCTTCATGGGCGGTGTAATGGTAGGTTTGGAATTATGTATAAAAGGAGGAATAACATAATATAACCTCCTATAGATGTTTTTCAATGTACTTGATTATTATAAATAGTCAAGGTTTTGTTGGGAAGGGAGCAATTAGTTTTTCTAAGAAGGAAAGGAGTTGTGGGAGAGTGAGGTTCTCTCGAAACATCCTCAATTGTTTTAACTTGTTGTTATGTACCACATTGGCAGAAACAGTTTTCTTAGTAATAAAGTCATTCAAGAATCTGTCTTGAATGTTTCTGTAATTACAGGTTGTTCTATCAGTATAAAACGGCTATATGTTTTAATAGCATTTAATAATAGTTTGCCTAGTACAGCTTACTTCTTTTGTAGCTAAAATAGTGTCATGAGGACAGTCTCAGATGAATTAGGATTATCCACAGTTTCATGTTGGTAACTTAGCATGAGTGGATATTATTCGCTAAAACTAGCCTAAAGTATACTGTATAAAACGTCCAGCAGTATGCTTTATTTGTTGAATTCATCAGAAGAAACTTTATTCTGTTGGAAATAATTCTTTTCAATTCTGCTATAAATTTTTAAAACTTGTATCTGACCTCTTTCGCCTTTGCCTCTTACCATCTCTTCCATTAATGCAGCCAATTGTAGCCGTTCCTTCATTTATTTGTGCTGATGCATTCAGTAAGTTCCTGCCTTTTTGTACTGGGTTCGCTGCTGGATGCATGATCTGGATGGTTGTTGCAGAAGTGCTTCCTGATGCATTCAAGGTATGTATATTTAGGGTTTGTTTGGATTGAGAAATTTTTTTTCTGTTGGATTGAAGAAAACATTTTCTCAAAGTAAAAAGCATGCTGTTAATTTTTCTCAAAATTTGGATCCTCTGTTCCCATCACCTTGCACGTGACTTTAATCAATTAAAGTTGATTTTAATGACTAAAATTTGTTATATTTTAATAGTTTACAAATGGTTAAGTAAGCCGTAACATCTTTAATTTGAACCTTCAAATTTAAAAGTAAACAGTAGAAGTACTTTTGGGTTGCGAGACTAAGCCTCCATTTGGAAATGATTTGCCCATTTGTGTGATCACAAGGCACAATCATTGTTTATGCTTTATTAAAACTCCTTCTGTGAATGTGCTTTTTTTCAAGTCAAAGGTGCTCCAATGTATTTCCCCAGGTCATAGCAATCTTCAAATACCAAACTAAAGGATTGGTTCTCTTCCAATTAGTAATGTTTGACTTGGAATATGGAAACAATATAGTCATTTGGAAGAGGGATGGCAATGTCTTTATTCTTTTATCACCTGATTAATTCCATGGATTTGGGACTCCAGCTCTTTGGCAACACCTATTTAGAGTATGATGTTTTCAGATATATAACATCATTCCCCATACTTTGGTATACAGGAAGCCTCTGCTTCTCAAGTTGCATCGGCTGCAACACTTTCAGTAGCATCTATGGAAGCTCTAAGCACCCTTTTTCAGAATTTCTACCGTGACTACAGGTGAGTGTATATTATTTTTATTCAGCTATGTAGTATTTGGTTAGGAAATGCTGGTTGCTGCTGGCTAGATGGCCAAAATTTTATTGTAACGAGTTGGCATTACTATTGACTCTTGGATGGATGAGTACCCTCTAATCCATATAACTAGCCTTGAATCTAGTTGAATTTAGTCAAGTTTTGGCAGTCTTTAGTCAACTCACTTTGTTATCTTAATTTTTCTTGTTACAGCTCTCAGGATGCTTCTGGCTTCTTTGTTTCATTACTTTTTGGGCTTGGCCCATTACTTGGTGGTATTATTCTGGTTGTATTTGCTCTTGCACTTCGTCTTCCGCATGCTCTCCTGATGGGCATAGCATGTGGTATTGCCTTTGTTCTTGGTGCCTGGCGACCAGTGCAGCTTATTTTGTCTTCAAAGTTAGGATTTTTTCCTGTTGTGTTACTCCTTGCAATGGGTGCTGCTTTCATCCATGTTTCCAGCTCTGGTGTACTGAAGGTGGCAGCACGCAAGAAAACCTCGGCCACTGACTTGCCTACTCTTATAGGCTTCCCAGTGAGTGTTCAAACCCTTCAATCATTCATATTATGCGGTGCTGTTGCTCTACATGCTTTGGCTGAAGGACTTGCACTGGGAGTAGCTGCACCAAAAGCTTATGGATTTGGTCGTCACATCGTCCTTCCAGTCTCTCTACATGGTCTCCCTCGAGGTGCTGCTGTTGCTAGCTGCATCTATGGTTCTACTGATAGTTGGCATGGTTCTCTTGCAACAGCTGCCATAATTGGATTTATGGGTCCTATAGCAGCAATTGGATCTATTCTTGCTGGGATTGATTACAGTGGCCTTGATCACATAATGGTCCTGGCTTCTGGTGGAATAATTCTAAGTTTTGGAAATGTATTTAATAGAGCACTTAGCTTGGACAAGAAAAAGAGCACATGTGGCCTCGTTATGGGAATTGGGTTTGCTACCTTATGCCTAATGTTCACTAAATTAGTTTGCTTAAACACACCTTACTGCAATTCTGCACCAGAGGCTGTCAGATAAACGATTGTGCTCCATTTCCTGCGTCGTCTATATTTTGTGCTTACAACTGTAGTACATATTTTTATAGTTTGATCTCCCAATGCATATTGCATAATTTGAAGAGTTGGGAGAAATTGTAAAAAGTTGTTGATTCTTTTGGACTTGAAAGAATTAAGTTATATCCCCTTTTATAAATCCAGAATGAAAGCGAGAATTGATTTTTTGGAGGGTAGGAAGAAATGTCCAAAAGAGTCTCCTATCCAATGAAAAAAAATGGTACAGTTGCCGATTGGTGGCTATAGTCCACTGGCTACTTACTAGCTTGCTTTAAAATTAAAATACGTCCACATCAGTACAAGTCCCACAAGCATGTGATGTTAGTTTGAAAAAAGCTAGTAACCTTACGTAAAGGAAAATTATTCAATTTATAATATGATCATGTAATGTAACAGTATCCCATCACACCTTAAATTCTACGTTTTTTTTTCTTCTGTTCTTGAAATCATCCCTCCTATTTCACATTTTTCTACCATCTTTCTGATTGTAGACAACTGAAAGACCAGATGTCCATGGCTGAACCTCGAAAAATGTATAGCTATCAAGGCCGAATTTTGTGCATGGCCTCAAGAATGTAAGGAATGGTAGAAAGAGCAGATAATATTTTTCTGTGGAGAATGTTTTTTAAGCATTTATGGTGACAGTGGTAGAATTTAATTTGAAGATGAGAAATGAAATAGTTCTCTGAGGCTCAGATGCCACGTCTTTATGATTCATTCCTAAAGCCGAACAAGTAAATGGCAGATATTTAAGAGCATTCCAAAGGAAGAAGAACTAACTAGAGAGGAAAAAGAAAAGAAAAGAAAAAAACAAAATCAAAGTCACTATTTGGGTTGAGGAACAGAAACAGACTGAGAGCCGGTGAGCCTTGCCAACATGACAAAAGTCATCCCTCCAACAACGTTGTTGGCCAGTCTGAGAGCCAACACAGAGGACTTGAACACAAAAGGAGGGACCCACTTCTCCAACAAAAACTCCACCCCATTCAGACACTGGTACCTCACATTGCTGCTCACACCCATGTGCGCCGCCCAAGTCAGGGCGTTCAGAACCGTAGGCGGAGCCTTGTTCGGCGACTCGAACGTGGGGTCGACCCTCTTCCTCATCGCGATCAGCCCGTTCGAAATGGCAGTCCCAACAAGGCCAGCAACCAGCCCCACCAGCGCAAACACCCCTCCCTTGTACACCAGAGTTCCACACCGCTCCACTATTCCGTAGGGACCCGGTTCGAACATGTGGCTGCTGGGACACCTCGCGAACAAAGAAGGGAGGGTGGAGCAGGAGGAGGAGGAGGAGGACAAGGTGGGTGCCAAGAGATACATCAGAATGAAATTCAGAATGGACCCCACAACCAGAGTCGAGAACACGAAGTCCAGTTCGTTGAGCCCGAAGTTGGGGCGTGTGGCCATGTCGCCCACAACCGCCGCACTCACACCCACCAATTCCTCCATCAAAACCTTGAAAAGGAATTGTGGGTCCGCCGCCACCCTCGATCTCCATCCGTTTAAAAACATACCCAGAACTCCGAATCCGACGCTGTCTCCGTCCGAGTCTCCGCCTCCTCCCCCACCGCCTCCTCCCCCCGCCCCGCTGCCTATGTCGCCGCCGGAGAAGGCAAAGTGGAGTCTTTGGATGCGGGGGTGGCGCGGAGACGGGAAGGAATGTGTGGAGTGGTAATGGTAATGGTAATGGTAGCGCTGATGAGAAGAGAGAGGAGAGAAACGGAAGTGGGCCATGGCTTGTGCCGCCATTGCCATTTTGATTTGAAGTTGTGCGTGTGTGTAAGAAGTGAGATTGAAAAAAGAAAGAAGGAGAAGGGGGAAGAAGATAAAAATGGGTGGCAAAATAAGTGGTGGAGGGATGTGCGAGAAAATATGAAGAGTTTGGGAAGAATATAAAACGTTGGAAAGAAACAAAAGAAGAGGAATGAATTTAATGGTTTTGACAGGGAAAGGAGTGTGTTTGATTGTGAGTTGCCACGTGGACAGCCAAATATCGGATTCAGCTCCACCTCACTCTGTTAATTCATTCATATCCAAGCTTCGTGCACTCATTCTATTAGAGCCATCGTGAATAGTAAATTTTATTTTGAGATTTTGTATAATTTGTTCGGTGGATTCACGTTGTTTAGGAAAAAAAAATCTAGTTTAAATATTGAAATATAAAATTTAAAAAATAACTTTTTATTATTATTTTGTAGGTGTTAAATTGTTAGAATTTTCTGATCAAGATCTCACTTCATATTTCATCTTCCAGTATTCACTTAACATATAATATCTTCTTCATCCATTATACCCATTCCCTCAATTTGTCAGTTGAAAACTTGGTAAAAAAAAAAGTTGTTATTTTCCGTTCATTCACTGCATGTTTTTCTTTTATTATTTGAAATAGATCCAACATTAAATACAGATAAATTTTTCACAAATTTGAGATAGATTGTTCTATTTTTAAAAAATATTTATATATTAAAATTAGAATACAAATAATTAAAAACATTATTTTTTATATTATATTATTAAAATATATAAATATATTATAATATTATAATTTAAATTATAAATATTAATTAATTAAATTTAAATTATTAATTAAATTAAGTATTTTTAATATATAATTTAATTTATTTAATGAAAATATTAATTAATAAATAAAAACTTAAAAAATATATTTTTAAAAAAATTATATAAAAAAAATATTGATAAATTAACCGTTAATCCGTCTTTTTTATTCTGAATATTAAGAACCAGCTCATCCACCTCATTTTCGGCTGATAGAGACAAAAGTAAATGGGACTGCATCCCTACTTTTATCAAATAAGAAGCCCACAACAAGGGATTGATTACGGAAACTTTCTTAAACGTAGAAGATTACAGAAAAAGCATCTATTTGGTGTGTTAAATTCCAAAAAGGGATTGATTCCCGTTTTCAACTGGAGATACTTCTTCATAATGAAGGAAAAAGAAAAACTAATAATTTACAACAATACACTCGAAGATTGGTACTCGCAGCATAACATCAATGTAATTATTCTAAGATGGAAATTTTCACCTATAAAATGGTTCGGCCGTTGGCAATTAAACCAGTTTATGTGAGGATACACTTCGTTTTAGTTCCGAGTTTGACGGGAAAAATACAAGTAGATCGGGCGGGTTTTCCGCTTTAAAAAGTGAGAGCGGGGATGGGTAATACGATCCTCACGCTCGATTCAGACTTCTGTTCACGCCAAATTTATATTTAAATTTAAATTTTAAAATATTAATATTTTAAAAGTATTTTCTTTTCTTTTTCTATTACATATAAGGTCATTTTTTTATATTTCCCAACTTTTATTTTTCTTCTACCTATTTTTTAATTTTTTTTGTCTTTTTTAATCTTTTATATCAATTAATTTATTACATTATTATCTCTTTTACCTTTCAGTTTTTCACATTTCCTTAATCTCTCCCAATAATTTTTTTTTCAATCTTTTCAATCAATTTGATGAACATAAAGTTAATTTTTTTAATCTTTATCTTTTTCTAAATATTTTACATAAATCTTAGTAATAACTAATATTATTTTATTTATAATTTATATTTATTAGAATTTATTATGTCATTTTTTTATCTTATTATTCTTATTTATTATATATCAAATTTTATCTTAATAAAATAATTGTATTTTAAAGGATTAAAGTAATTGATAATTTAAACTTTTATTACTTTGAATTAATTGAATAATAATTAATTTATTAAATATTTCCTTATAAACTAAATATTTCATATAAGACAATTTAAAAATGAATTAACTTATATATATATATAATCAAATGTTTGAATATAATATTATAATAATATATTATAAGTATTCATTGAATACAATATTATAATAATAATAATAATATTATAAATAAAAAATGATTAAATATTTCTTTTACATACATATTTTAATATAAATATAATAAATTAAAATATATATTCAATTAATAATAATTATAAATTATAAAATTATAAATATTTATTTATATATAAAAAATAGATAGTAAAATTAATTTATTATAAATATAATTATTTTTTAAAAATAATATAGATCGGAGACGGAGAACCTGAAACACAACAACAACGGGGATGAGTACTTGATTTCTAACCCAATTTCTAACCAGGCGGGGATAGGGAAACAAAACCCGGCCCCGCCCCCATTGCCATGCCTGTGGTCAAATGAAATAATTCGAATGGGTGAAGACTTGTGGTTATTCCTTAGTTCATGTGATTGTCAGATTCTGAATTTGAACCCAGAACAAAAACAAATAGAAAGAACAATCCCATATATTTCGATTGGATATGACGTAAGTCTAAAACAGTCGCTAAACAAATATAATATAATATTATATTCTTTATAAACAAATACCAGTGTTTTCCCCTCAACGATACATGGTCTGATATCTGTGACATGACTTGACATGTATCGTTCGACTGTAACGCAGAGAATAGAATACAAATGCTTGAGACAAACAACTATAAAGAATTCAGCCTATGCAAACTAATCTTTGAATACCAATGAGACTTTGACATGTCATGTCACATGCCCACAAAACTTGATCCACTTCCAGACCTAAAACTTCACCCCATCACATGTATATTCCATGCTTCTCACAAGAATAAATCCAATAATAAATGTATGAAGTGTACACGAAAAAAGACTCATTTGAACACGCCTATTCTAAATACCCAATTATATTATCTTCTTTTTATCATTCTTTTTTTCTTCTAAAAACCTTTCTAGCTTTGACTTCCTGTTGTTTAAGAAGAAAAATGTAGGATAAAGGATGTAAAAACCACCAGCGATAATTGTTAGCCTATTGTTTCATAGCTGCTTTGTTTGAGATGGACTGGTAAACCATAAAACCCATCTACATGTAACGAGGAAACCTTTCTTTCATCGACCAGTTTTAGCCCGTTTCATTCCACTGGAATTGAATGGAGATACACTTCCACTTGGTCCAGGACTCTCTTCTCTGAAATTTGAATTCAGCATCGCCAATTCACGTAACTGCTGCCTCTTGATATAGTCCTCAGACTCATCCTGCATATCAATGTTGGCAACCAAAAGAAAGTAAATATAAAATTTTTCACAACCAAGATTAATCAACAAAGTGGTTACCGTGGAGGTTTCCATGTTTCTGACTTCAGACAATAAGATGGTCGTGTCAGGGAAGGTATTGAACGGTTTAAATCCTCACGTTTTTTACATGAATTTTGGAGGTTACAAGGAGTAGCTTTTGTGTTGAATGTGAGTTCACACAAGTATACGCATGTTCCTAAAACTAAATCTGCTAGCTTGAAGTGATTCTAACAGAATATTTCGGGAAAAAGCCAAAGGTAAACCATCTGGACTCAACCAAATTCTAATAAGTCAACTTTGACTCCTTTGAAGGTCAAGGAAAACTTTAGAGACTAAAAAGAAAATTGGAAGAAAACCTTGGATTACAACAAAAGAGTGGTTTACCTAGTCCATTAATTGTCATCCAGTCACTTAAAATCTAGTCTAGAAACTTATGCAGATCACTTCAAAGGTATTAATTATTCACAAAATTAAAAGCAGTATAAATAAGTTGTTCCTTTACATTTTTACTTCGGAATTTTAAAGCTTTTAAATGTGTGAACACTTATTGGGATCAGTATTTTAATACTGGCCTGAGATAAAAGTGAAGCAGAATAGTCAGCTCATCCAACATAATACAGAACAGATGATTAAGACACAATGTGAAGGAACTTACCACAGGTTTGAGCAATTCTTCTATAATTTCCTGAGCCTGTCGGAGCCTTATGTCAACAATATTAGCAGGTAAATCAGCCTCAATCAAGATATGGAGTGGCTCATTGAGATGCTCATAACCTGGTCTTCCTCTTAATTTTTCTTCCTTAAGGATTCAAGAGATAATAAACTCAATCATTACACAAGAATAATGCATAGATCAATAAAAATAAGCATCATATATATATTTACTTCACGTTTTGCAATATTAAACGTGGGAAATCATACCAAGATCTTCATTACCTTGTCTGGATCTTTTATTGAACCCTTTCCTCTAATATACACCCGACAACCTGTAGAAGCTTCCACCCTTTTCAGAGAATTGCCCCTGGGTCCCAGAAGCCTTCCAACAAAATTGAACTAATGCCAAAAAAGAGAAAAGATAAATTTAAACAGTCTGATAGAATTATTAATTAGTCTTTACTAAATTGGAATTGATATATGAGAGCTTACATTGGGATATGTATCAACTGGAATTTCCAAGCGCAAAATCCTCTTAACTGTATATGAACTAGGACTTGCTGGTGCAACTTGCCAGTCCATTGTCATTCCAGGAGTTCCACGTAACCTCTGTTTAGCAGGGGGAAAGGAATAATAAGGTTATATATATGTATAAAAGCTAAATAGGGCAGGAAAGTAACATGGTGAAGATTAGAACTAGGGATAAAGCCTTTTTGTCATTTGAAAAAAATAAAACCAGACAAGAATTAGCATTCTCAATCCGGTAACCAACAAATAAGAAAAGTTTAGAAGCTAGATAAGAAAAAAAACTAGGCAAACAACTTAAATGGCAACTTGTAACTAGGAAAATAAGCAGTTATAAATGTGTCTCCTGTAACTACTGTATAGCATAGTTACTGGTCTAACATAGATTGGTGTAGCAGCTAGTTTTGAAAACACTATAGTGGATCAATGAGCACTGTTTTTTAACTATTTTATACTATAAACTAAACAATTTATACTACAATTATAAATACTCAAAAATAAAATAAAATAACCAAAATTCAATAAATTCATGATAAACAAGCCACAGTGCACACACACAATCACTGCCTGGGAGCAATAAGAACATGAGGATGATGGTGAATAATAGAAAAGCACAACAAATTAGATTAAATTAGTATAATGCAAACTGGGAAGTCTACATGTAGAGGAAAGAATAGAACACAGTTGCACAGGTATGTAAAGTAAGAAGGAGAAAAGGTCAAAATAGAAGTAACTTTTTCACGGAATGTTCAAGGAAGAACAGTTTCAAGTCCTACTATGCTTATGAAGCAAAGACTGCATTAGATAATGAAGGAGAAAACACAACTTTACCCAAATGGGTTTTTGAAGCCTCTATTATGGTACTAACCACTATGTTGGCCATTATTTGAATCTCATAGAAGCCTAGGGCTACTCCAGCGCTCCTAAAGTACACTATTTGACTTCTGCACTAAAGTATTACCACATTGGAAAGTTGAATGGCAAGGCCAACGTCACCATACCACACTGTTCTGAGTTGGATCACAAAAAATATCAGAGTAGGAAGCGCATTATTTCGTTTTTCTGAGTTAAGCCTTAAGACCACTTTCAAACATATTTAAACTCCAGGTATGCAATCAGATTAATTTACAAGGTCATACACTAAATTTCAGTAGTCACAGCCATTAAGAAAGTTAGTCAACATCATTAAATTTGTATGTAATTGTAATATTTTTCCAAGAGTACCCTGAAATAAATAATGTGTAGAGAAAGAATAATCTATTGAAGTTTTAATTTTGAAAACTAAATTCTTGATTCTCCAATTCATATGCGAGAGAAAGATAATTCATAGCATTTATTATTTATGAAAGGAGATAATTAGGGGTATTTTAGTAAAAAAAGTAAATAATGCAAGGGACGAATAGAAAAGAGTCTTATAAGAAAGAATAAAGAAATTTCAAAACAATGTCTTTTAATTAGGGACAAAAGGAGTAACATAGAGTCTATGGTCCCACATCATTTGGGGTTTGTTGGGAGGAAACTTCTCTATAAACACTTTCAGAGAGAGAGAAAAATAAGAAGGAAAAATTAAATCAGTTTCTGCATAAGGTAAAATTAGCTTATGTGTGAATTCAAAATCAGATTTTACAGAAGTTAATAAGAAATAATTTTGACAAATTAACTTGCACATAAGTTAATTTTAGGTTATGAAGAAACTAATTTTATTTTTCTTTCTTACAAAATCTTATGAAGAAATTTCTCCAACAACTCTTGGTATAGTCACTATGTAATCCCATCTCCATTATTTTCCACAGTCAACCATAAAAATACATTTTATGTACCGTCATTCATGATTATGGGGACACCCAAACATTCAATTTTCTCTCTTTTCGTTGGAACCCATGAGCCAACCCATCTCACCACTGATTCAAGCCGGATTGGGTTTTATTCTTTTAAATTTCTACTAATAATGGGTTAACAATGAGCATAACTCACTTAACCCACGGGTTAAATGGGTTCAAGTTGAGTTATGGTAGGTTGGCTCGCAACCCACCATTCATTTTAAATTTTAAAAATAATTATAATAATTAATAACTCTAATTGATGTTATCCTATCTCTCCACCTCTACTCTACGTCATCACTACAAGTCAAATCCTCACTCAAGCTTGTCATCAATTGTCCGTCGCACCACTGTGTTCGCTGCTGCACTTAGGTCGCTTGTCATTCGTTCATCGCACACACTGTCACCGTGTTCGTTGTGTTTGTTGCGCCACTACACCACAGCATTTGTCGTACCAAAGCATTTTAGTCGCGTCACAGCATTTGCCGCATCACTGTGTTTCAGTCGCGTCACTAGCGTTTGTCGTGTTTCAATCATGTCACAACATTTGTCATGTCATCACGCTACTGCATTCCAGTCCCGTAATTTAGTCGTGCTTATTAGAAAAAAAAAATTTAAAAATAAAAAATAAATATGGGTTAGTAAGCCAATCCACCAAACCCGGACCACCAACTCATAGTGGGTTGAACCAGGTTGTGAAATTTATGACTCGCCATAAAATGAGTCGGGTTGAGCTCGTCTATTTTCAGGTCAGCCTGTGATGAGCCAACCCAGACATCCCTTGTACTTAGCTCACATATAGCTAACATCTTCCGCTTTTACCAAAACAGGCTTTACTTTATTTGCATTGTCTTGTTTGACAAAACTTTTGTTAAAGCACAATAATAATATGTCATGAGTTCAATAAACTTTACCTCATAATCGAGGCTATTGGGCTAAGAGTAAATGACAAAATCTCAGCATTTCCAAATATACGAATTCAACAAGCATATGTGAGCATATATATAAGTCTTTTACTAGCCATGTACTATCTAAAGTAGCCAAAGAAAAATTCAAATCAACATGAACAGATGATAGTCAAACTACGACAAGCATAAATTGAGGATCAAAGTTTGAATGTAAAGATAAACAATTCGAAAGCAGTCACCTCTTGCTGAAGACTATTCCATCCACCCAACCCAGTTCCAGTTGACATGAGGTTTGAAGAAGCCATTGGACTAGGGCTTCTATGCCGCAGTCTATCAAAGTCACCAAAACCTTGATTGGACAGCAATCCAGAAACTCTTAATATTTCTGCACATAGAGAATCGTTGTAATGAGAAAGAAACCTAAATGTACTACTGAATATCATACTTACTGAATCAAAAGAACCATGATAAAGCAATCAATAAAAAAAATATTTGTAATTCGAAAAAAATAGGATGAAAGAACAGATACTGTGAAATGAACTATATCATACTATTTATTGACAGGAGGACAGCATCATTCATCAGTAATAAACTAGACAAAGACTTAGCTTCTAAAAGCTTTATACTATTGGGCAAAGGCACATAAAGTCCAATATTGGGAGAAAGTGTATGGATATACATGGTCAGAGTTTCTCTTAACAAGATCGACTGCAGTCAAATTTTCCCATGTTTTAAAGGTACCAAGGCAATAGAGATGTGGGTAATAATAGTTAAAGACCAATTTCATCCATAAGGCTTTGTGAGGAATTTTTTTATGTGGATGAGAAAAAGAGAGGGGATGGTGGAGTTACTTTCCCTAGTCTCGATGTTAGTAAGGAAATAAGGAACACTACTAGTACACTACCCCTAGTATGGGAGTTGAAATTGAAGTCGAGGGCTTAAGAGCCTCAGCTTAAATGACACCAAGTCCCTCCCCTGGGAACTGCTTGATCACAGGATTGAACCCCACAAAGGCCTATTGTCGTCTGCCCACCCTCCCTGCACGAATTCTTAGATCTCTTTAGAGGGTCAAAGAAGAAGATAAAAAGTTAAAGTACAAGAAATGAGAAATGCTTCCCCTTGTTAGTTAAAAACTTAAATAAATTGTTCCCCTGCTTGCCCGAATTTGAGAGGGACAGGGAAGTGGTAGGGAACACATCTCTACCTCCTCTTCCCTCCATATCTTCCAAATAAGGGTTTCAAATTTCCAACTTAATAATTCAAATATATTTACCTCTCATCCAGTCCAAGGATATGAAAGATATATATCCAACTTCACATTTCAGATACCACGCCAAATACTTGTATACAAAATTTTAAATTTCAAAGCAGAACCTTATAAACAAAGTCCATTGGAAGGATCTTCTCCTAAACCCATTAATATACACGATTCAGATCCCCAACCTCATAATCGGAGAGTAAGTTTAACAGCATCATTGTTTGCATTGCACACTTTACTTTACATTGAAGCTCTACAAAGTGAGAAGGGCGAAAGACAGAACCTTGAGGGGCAATTCGGGATTTAAATTTGTAACACAGAGACAGATAGAGAATAAAAGTTGGAAGTGAAGTGAGAAGAAATGGGTGATCTGTAGATCTCGTGAAGAAAGAAAGGGAAAGGAAACCTTGATTCAAGAGACGAGTGCAAATGGGAAGGGCTTGCATGAAGGGACCAAGCTTCTGATGCTCTGCCAGCAACTCCGTAAGATACTGACTGAAAAATCAAAAGCAAAAAGAGAAGCAATTGAGTTGGATTGATTGACATGAGCCCTAGATGAAGCAATCTAGTTGAAGTGTTGAAGTTGAATAAGAATACCTGTCAACTTCTGGGTTGGTTCGAATCTGAGGAGAAGCAGCTCTGACCGGAGAGAAGTTGGAATTGTAGAGACCCGACATGGCTAAACCTAAACCTAAACCTTGGATTTTGGCAGAGAGAGCGCCGTAGGTTTAGTTTAGTGTCGTGAAACAACGCTTGCTGTTGCTGGATGGACAACTTTCTCAATTTCACACCCTACAAATCATTATTTTATTTTTTTTATTTTTTATTGCTTACTACTTGTTTGTTTGTCCCCAAGCTGCGTTGTACTGCAAAGAATAAGAGGAAGAGAAAATGAGGAAAAAAAGACTTTGATAAAATAAATGAGAGAGAGATAGTTTTGGTGCAGAAAAAAAAAAGAAAAAAAAAAAGATTACGACAGTTGGAGAGGTAAGTTAAGGTGAAGAAGAAGATTTGACCGAACGGGTAGGGGAAGAAGAAAGAAAAAGACAGAATTTTTAATTTTAATAATTTGTATGGTGTGAGTGTAGTGAAGGAGGTAGAGACACGCGTTGGACATGCATGAATTAAGCAAAGGTTTTTGTTTTGTTTGGCTCTGTCTGGTGGTAAAAAAAAGAAAGCAAGTGGTAACTGATGATTGAGGAGGAAAAGGGATGTGCCTTGAAGTTAAGAGTTAAATAAGAGTTGAGTGAAAGTAATAAATAAATAAAAAATCAGAAAGAAACCAAAACAATTATGATGTTTGCCCGTGCCTCTTAGCTGGACCCACAATCCCTCTTCCATTTATGTGTTTTATGTTAGTACCTTCATAAAGAGCATACAAATTATTAATGATAAAATAAGAGACTTTTTTTTATATAAATAATATTATTTTTAAAAACAATTTTTCAAAATAGTATATATATGGAACATTAAGGGTTTTACGGGGTTTAATTTCGTTCAAGCGATATAATTCTCGCTCAAGTGAGAAGTTATCTATATCAAGCGAGAAACTCTTCGCTTGAGTGAGGAGACATAAAACTAATGGGTAATCTCGAGTATTTTTTCACTCAAGTGATGGATAATTTCGCTCGAGAGCGAGAACTGATTGAAATATATGGTGACCCAAGTTATATTATGTGGCTAACTACATTGGACATTTAGTCTGTGGTCAATTCTCACTCAAACGATGAATAATTTCGTTCGAGCAAGAAGTGATTGGCTAAGTTAACGTCTGTGGTCAATTCTCGCTCAAGCGAGAAATTCATCGCTTAAACGAGGAAACTTATAATCGATTATAATTTAAACTAATCGATCATAATTTTAAAATATTCGAATATTTAAAATTATGATCAATTATTTCTCTCTTGCTCAGCGAGAAATTCATTGCTTGAGCGATGAAACCTGCAACTATTTATAATTGATTATAAGCTAAACTAATCGATTATAATTTTAAAATAATCGAATCTTATATCTTCACTAGTCAACTTAAAGCTTTTTACAATAATTGTTTCATAAAACATTCAAAGGTTTATCTAATTATTTTCGTATTCAAAAATTTGTCCTTGATAATTTTAAGTTATACACTCCCTGGACTGCAAATTGCAACCTTGTCAGCATATCTTCGATTCAACCATGAACAAGATTGAACAGCAAAAGGACTAAAGTGAAGAATATTAACAATTCATGCAACAAACCTGTATTCCTATTATGATTTGTTACCAATATAATTATCCTTATTGTAAGAACAGATGAGCCCATGAGTTACTACATTGTAGGTAATCCCCACTCTACAAAGAAGAAATTTTATTAATTGAAAAACTCCTAAGTTTCACACATTGGGGCATTTCTTAACTAACACAATCTAATGATACGAAGTAATGCACGTGCAACATTGGGGCATGTTCTTCTACTATGACCAGGGGTATGACAATATGAACATTTTTTAATCCTACTTTGATTTTTTGTAATATCCATCTCAGTTCTTATACGGCTTGATTTTGGTCGGCCCTTTGAAGTTCTTTTCATTTCTGGATTTGCACACAAAGTAGATCTTGTGTATGTTGGGCAATATTCTTCATTTCGCAACCACCCAAATTGTGTTTCGTATACCTTTGAAACTTGTTGTAAGGTATACACTGGATGAATGTGGTTGTTGAAGTCATGGTGTGCATGCTTGCATGCAGCAAGAACATGTGAACAAGGCATGTGAAATTTCTGAAATTTCCCACAGTCACACCATAACTCATCAAGGCGAACGGCAAACTTCCCTGCTAATCGAACTTCACGCGGGTTTTGTATTTCTTCTACTACAAATTTTGTGGTAGATCTGTCAAAAGTTATGACCCTATGCGTGTTTGACTGTGTTTGTTCTTCCTCTAAATTTGTGACCAAAATTTCACAGTATACATAACCAACATTGATCATGGCATCTATATGCCTCCCTCTTTTAATAAAAAATTTGTTGCAGCGGGTGCACGTTGCGTTGACCATAGAGCAAATAGGTAGATTTCTTGTTTTTTTCAAAACAAAGTTAATAGACTCTGCTATGTTGGTCGTTATGTGGTCCCAACGTCGTCCATTGTCTCATGCAAGTGCCCATTTTTTTCTAGGTATCTCATCCAACCAATTAGCTGCTTGTATGTCACATTGCCTCAAGATATTGTAATAATAGTAGAATCGTGGTTCAATCATCCCATATGCTACAACAATATTAAAAAAACATAATTAATATAAATATTTATTAGCAACAGTTAAATAATGAATAAATTGTAACAAATTTGAAGCAAAAGAATTACCCATATTTACAACATCTTTCCTTAGTGCGGTGTTTTTGAAACGTCTTATAAAATTCTATGCAATGTGTCTAATGCAGTAGACATGCACTGAATTATTTTCTGTCCATCCACTTCCATTTCTCATGTATGCACTTCTAATAGATTCATGTCGGTCTGATATGAGGCATAATCCTTGCTGGGGTGTGACATATCTTTGGAGGTTTCTTAAGAAAAAAAACCATGCATCACTTGTTTCACCTTCAACCACTACAAACTCAATGGGGAGGATATTGTTGCAGTCATCTTGTGCTACTACAACCAACAAGGTACCTCTATATTTTCCGTACAGAAAAGTTCCATCCACTTGAACAATGGACTTGCAGTGAACAAATCCATCTATGCATGGTCTAAACGTCCAAAACACACGCTTAAAAATATTTGAATTTTGTTGAAGGATCTCACCTTGGTAAGTTGGTTGTGACTGTAGTTTATAGATGAATCCAGGAACAAATTGTTGCATGGCTTATAACAAATAAGGCAATTTCTTATACGAATCCTCCCAATTGTCGTAAATGGTCTCCACTGCCTTTTGTTTGGCCAATCAGGCCTTCCTGTATGTTATAGTGTAACCCGTTGTTAATTGTATGTGGGCTATGATTGTGGAGATTGGTGTTGACGAATCAACATCAATTATTTGACCAATTATTTGGGAAACAATTTTATATCCCAACTTGTTGTGGTCTTGGCTGATTAATGGCGAAACGCACATATGGTGCCCTTCAAGCTTCATAATCTCCCAATATTGCTCTCTTGTGCGCAATATTGCTCGACATCTCCAATTGCATTGGTTATCAACACATTCAACAACATATCTACTTTGGTTTTAAATTTTCACCTTGTATATGCAGTGATTGACAATGTGAAAGCGGTTGATGACATCTTGAACTTGTTCTTTTGTTATGAAATATTGTCCAAGAAATAGAGTTCCTATCGGAGAAATAAAAGACTCTCTGTCCAACGCATGACCATACTCTGGGTCTTGTTGTTGAATGTGACTTTCAAAGTTAAGAAAATGTTGTGGTGGGTTGTATGGTTCCATGAAGTTTGGTGCATGTGTAAGGATATGTGGTTGTTCATCCTCTGAATCATCTTGGTGTTGGCTGAGAATTTCATCTTCGTCTTCATCCTCACTAAAAGGATCAACGACTTCAATTGGGAGGCTAACAATTTTGTTCTCTTGTGTGGGTAGTTCTTCGTTGATGTTGGTGGAAGACCCAGTTAGAAGTTGGGTAAAAGAGATGTAGTCATTATGTGTGGGTATTTCTGGGTTTGTGTTTGGGAAAGCTTGGTAAGGTGAGAGTGAGATTTCAGGTGAGTGTGTGTTGGGGTATGAAGAAGAAGAAGTTTTAAATGTAATAAAAATTTCAATACCATATAGACTTGAGTTTGAATCATGAACATCGAACATGGCCTCCACGTCGTCATCATCTTTCAACTCAACAACAACGAAGTTGTTGATCCCAACTCCGGGTCTAGTTGGACAGCAAAAATCGATGGTTGCTACATTTTCGTGAGGTTCTTTCTCTAATTTCCTGTGGATCAACTTCTCTAACCTTTGTAGAGAAATTTCTCTCTTTAAAGGAACAAGTTTTGTAGTCCCAGTATTGAATGTAACTCCCTCCATGGGACATGGGTTCATGGAACCATCATAGGGGACAATAGTAGACATTACACCCATTTTAGGAGTGTGGAACAAAAAGAAGACTAAAGGTAAGAAGAAGAAAGAATGCAAAGAGCTTTAGAGATTTAGGAGTGTGCAATGTGAGAACTTCAAAGAATGAAAGTGGTCTATTTATAATGAAGTCCAATGGTTTGAATCCAAGACTCCCTCACATGGCTTCTGACGCACACAAAACCCAAGCAAAGTGAGTGGGTCAGCATCTCTTTAAATGTGTTTGGATTCTTCTGCGTTTGTCTAACCCAATGCAGGGAATTCAAGATTGGAATCCTGACTTGGGTGGGTGACTCAACATTGGATTCCTGACTTGTGTGCATCAGAAAGACATGGGAATCCTGACTTGAGTGGGTGACTTAGCATTGGATTTCTGACTTGTGTGCGTTAGAAATTATATTAGGAGGTGCTATTTTGGGAAATATTTTTTTAAAAATTATTAATTATGTAAAAAATAGCTGCAGGTTTCCTCGCTCAAGCGATAAATTTCTCGCTTGAGAGAGAGTTGACCACATGCTAAAGCTCCAACGCAGTTAGCCACATAATGCAACTTGAGTCACCACATATTTCAATCAGTTCTCGCTCGAGCGAAATTATACATCGCTTGAGCTAAAAAACACCCGAGATTACCCATTAGTTTTACTCAAGCGATGAATTTCTCGCTTGATCGAGAGAGAAATAATCGATCATAATTTTAAATATTCAAATATTTTAAAATTATGATTGATTAGTTTAAATTATAATCGATTATAAGTTTCCTCGCTCAAGCGATGAATTTCTTTCTTGAGCGATAATTGACCACGAGCGTTAAGTTAGCCAATCACTTCTCGCTCGAGCAAAATTACCCATCGCTTGAGCGAGAATTGACCCAATATTACCTATTAGTTTCAGATCTCCTAACTCAAGAGATGAATTTCTCGCTTGAGTGAGAGAGAAATAATTGATCATAATTTTAAATATTCGAATATTTCAAAATTATGATCGATTAGTTTAAACTATAATCTATTATAAATTTCCTCGCTCAAGCTATGGATTTCTCGCTTGAGCGACAATTGACCACAGGTGTTAAGTTAGCCAATCACTTCTCGCTTGAGCGAAATTATTCATCCTTGAGCGAGAATTGATCATAGGCTAAAGGTCCAACGCAGTTAGCCACATAATACAACTTGAGTCACCACATATTTCAATCAGTTATTGCTCGAGCGAAATTACCCATCACTTGAGAAAAAAATACCCAAGATTACCCATTAGTTTCACAAGTCTCCTCGCTCAAGCGAAGGGTTTCTCGCTTGAGCGAGAATTATATCACTTGACTGTAATTAAATCCCACAAAACCCTTAAATTTCAAGTCTCCTCGCTCAAGCGATGCATTTCTCGCTTGAGCGAGAGTACGATGAACGATAAAGAGTGCTAGTTGCATAAATAATATTACGGATGTGCTATTTTGGAAAATATTTTTAAAATAGTATTATTTATGAAAAAAAGTCTAAAATAAGAATCAAAGTTAAATAGTCTATTTATTTTTATCTCAAATTTAATGAAAAGAATTGAGATTAAATTTTACCTTAATTAAACAATTATATTTAAAGAATTAATAATTTTATTATTATTTTATATTAATTTAATTTATTAAATATTTTTTATAAATTATATTTATATTTATTAACATTTTAAAATCTTAATTTAAAAATAATTTATTTAAATTTAATAATATAATATTATAATATAAGAATAATATTATAAATATTATATGTTTATATAAAAATATTATAATATATAATAAATATATATATATATATATATATATTATTAAAAAATATAAAATTATAAATTTTTTATATATAAAAATAATATATAAAAAATAGTAAAATTATTTTATTATAAATATAATTATTGTTTTTAGAAATAATAAAGTATAATAATAGATGGGATGGAAAATTAGAAATCTAATAAAAATTGACGATAAAAACATAATTTTTAATTTAACCGAGAATAAAAAAAATGAGAACGAAAATAATTAAAAAAATCGTACTCTGACTCGTTGCCCAGGTAAAACTAGTATCATATTTTATTTCATATTATCTTGAAAGAAAAATCCTTTAATACTTATATATTATTAAGGTTGAAATATATTTTTAGTTTGGGATAAAATAATATATTTTGATTTTAATTTTTATTTAAATTTTATTTCAAGATTTTATTATTTTGTTTTTATCTAAAATTGAAAATTAATGTTATTTATTTTTATTATTGTATGACACTCATTAATTACTTCCTTACTATTTATTTATGTGTAAATCAAGTAAATATATAAAAAGAAATATTTTTTTAGTGTTATATATATATATGATTTTTTTTAAAATGAGGTATATAAAAATATATGTTATTTATTTATCATAAAATAATCCTTGGAAATCAAAATTAATGAATTCAAATTTTAGATCGATAAAAATTAAAGAAAAATATTTTCAATTAGTAGCATATAAATTCATACATTTTATAAGAAAAAAATAAAATTAGTTCATTTCACTAACATTGAAAACATGTTTATATTTATTATTAATAATAAGTTTATTTTTTATTAATACTGTGAATTGATAAGTTAAAGAGAAATTGTGGATTTGCTTCGATAATATGTTGTTATTGAAGATTGAAGGAGCGAATTTGCAATGAAATTGGTAGTTTGCTCATGTATGTGTGCTCATTTAAGAAAAAAGATTGTGCAAAGAAATAGAAGGAAAGGCAAGTGCAATATTCATCTTGCCTCTAAGATTTGATATTGTCTTATTCTCATGTGATATTCGACGTGCCTTAACACAACTCATGAGTTTGTTTCTCTTTATTACATGTAGCTACCACCCCAATTAACAGCACTACCTCATTACTACCTCTTTATTATACTTGTTTAGCATAGCTTGAATTTTATTAATATAATCATTTTCATTATAAATCTAAAGCAAAAAATAAGACTCATTAGAACAAGAAACACTTGTGGTAGAATATGGATAGGAAAAGGTGAGTCAGGCCCATTAGGAGAAGGGAGTGTTGGGCTGACTTGGAGGCCTTTTTATATTTGCAGTGATGTGAGTTAGTGACTGTGGCTATAATCACTGAAATTCTACAATTTAAATGATAACGTTTGCTATGACTCTCTGTTGAATAAGTGCTTATTAGGAATGGCTTCTTTGCTGGATATTCAGAGATTTCCTAGTTTTTTTTTTCCTTCAATTGATATTCTCTAAGATGTTTTGATGCAGAATGTTTGAAGTAATGCAATAGTCTATATTACCTTACCAATATTTTACGAGCAATATGTGTGAGTTTTGTCTTTCTTCTATTTATGAGATATGATCCCGTTCAAATTGTCTGCAACATCAACATTCCTTTTTTTTTTTTTTTCTTTTAACAAAAAAAGTCTTCAAGTAGAGATGTATTAATGAATTAGGTGGGGAGCTTTGAAAACAAATGAAATCTTTCACATTTGAAAAACGTATAATTTTATTTTAATTATATAAATTTTGCAGAGATGTAAAGATGGTGAAGTTTGGAAGAAGACAGAAATGAATGATTGAGTTAAAAACTGATATTTTGGCGTCGGTGGTGCTGTGCTGAGCTGTGGACTTCATTTCTTCTTCACTCATCTTATCTCATCCCATCCACGCCTCTTCTCTCCTTCCTTTCGTTCCTATAAATAATAATAATAAGAGTATTTGTGTAAACCTAAAAATCCTCAAAAGAAATCTAATATTTGTGGAAATTTATAACAAATAAATTGCGACTTTTTCAGAAAATAATATTCCTTTTCAGAACTTTAAGAAAGGGGCCTAATGTTTGGACATGCGTTGTCCTGACGGTTTCCAAGCTTAAAGTCATGGCAAATTAATTGGATTCGTTGGCCATGCGTTGTCCCGAATTTTACGACAATACAATGTCAATCTCAAAATCAAATTGACATTCTGATAGGTTCATTTGGTTGCAATTGTGGTTCATCACTATACTAAACATTTCACACTTCATCATCATTCAAAACTAGAAACCCAGTAACCCACCCCATACATCTGGTCAAACATTCCACACCATACGATTTTTGGGACGGGAAATCCTTCTTGTCCATCAATTATGTGCACGTAGTTTTACTGTCATCATCATTCATAGTATAAACCAATGATTAATTAGAGAAAAAAAGGTAAGATGTGGATGGCCTTTTGTTGCTTATGTATGTTAGTTGGGTAAGATGTTCTTTTTTTCTTTCTTTGTGGTTCTGTTGAAGAATACAGAGACGAAATCATTTCATGCAAAAGTACCAAGATTCATGGCCAGCACTCAACAGCATATCTTGATTTATCACCTCTTTAGTCACTTTGCTAACTTGTCTGAGTGAAAGCATCTTAGGTACGAATGCGGACAGTTACTACTCCGATATTCATATGACTAAAGTGTTTGATTCAACTTTCACTACCTACATTTGGCCACAAAGTCGTGTCTAATGTGCAAAATAACACAAGCTAATTGATAAGGCTTTTAATATGACTTGAATCCGAGGCTAAGTGTTGACACATATCCAAGCATGCAGCTAATCTAATTCTAAGCAGTTTACTTTCTTCATGAACAAGTGACTCAAGTTTTATGCTTCCATTCCCTTTTCTGTATCCTACCAACATTCTATACCAATGCAAAGCCAACAAAAACAGAAAGGAGGCAGAAGAAGCTCACATTGAATTTCCAAGAATGTTTTCTGCAGGAACATTAATAGGTATTTGTGTGCCAATAATTGATTCCAGTTTATCAAGTATCAAACAGGGGCAAAGAGGATTAGTAAAAATTATCCCAAAAGTAGGAGCTATACTTTTATTCCTTGTCGATGGAAGAACTGGATTCATCACAAATAGAATCACTTTGAGCTGCTACATACACATTCACACCACAATGAATCACAAAGGAAATGAACAGATTTACTTTACACAAAAATTCTATATTACCATTTACCACCCGTATAAACTAGCCAAGGGAAGAGAAGAGCCTAAGCAAACAACCACCAAAATGAGGTGTTTGGAAGAATTTCTGAATACATCAACGGAGCTTGCACATGAGTGGAACAGCAACTGAAGATCATGTGAAAAAACAATGTGTCAGGGTACATATTCATGCTCAAGGGTAGGCTGCGTTCGAGTAACCGTGGCAGCAGGCGCTTTTGTATCCCCAACAGTGGCTATATGAAGGGCTTCTCCTGCATCTGCAGCCCTTTCCATCTGTTGTATTTTCTTGGTTTGTTTGTACTTTAGCACCCACAAAACCAGCAAACACAGCAACACCAAAAACACAATTCCACCCAAGACAGACCCCACAATAACCCCAACCTTCTTGCTACTCTTGCTCTCCTTTGGAACAACTGGTGGTGGTGATGGTGGAGAAGGAGCAGGAGATACTGGTGGTGGCAATGATGGTGGCGGTGGTGGAAGAACAGAAGTCTCAGCGACGATAGATAAATGGCCTTGAGTGGAGGTAGAGCAAGTGTTGCCTCCTGTTACATTGCTGAAATTGGATGAACCCTGCAAATCAAACCAAACACATCTTACCACAGCACCCAGAGGAGGATCTCTGACATCCAGAAACTTGACCTTGATAGGCTCAGCAGAGGCATTAACATTGAGGGTCGGTAAATCAGTAGCTGACAAATTGGAGCCATTGTAAGCCAAGAGTCCTAGAACAGGAGCCAGGTAAGTGTAATTGGGCAAAGGGTAATACCTGTTGGACCAATTACCCAAATTTTGGTAAACCAAAACCAGTCTCTTCACATACGGTTTCTCAATGACCCCTATGGGAATCTCAAACTCGTTATAACTTGGAACAACCCCTCTTCTCCTCAAACTGCCACTCCGTAATCTCAATGCAGCAATCTTAACCCCAGTGAAATTGGAAGGAAGGTGAGATGTTGCATTGTATATGGTACCTGTTTTGGGTTTGACCAAAGCCCTGAAGGCATATTCTTGAAGAATTACGTCAAGGGACCTAGCTTCGCTGGACTGAGCCCTGATACGGGGAAAAGGAGAGCATAGCAGAAGAAGCAGATGCAGCAGGAGAAGATGAAGCCTCATGGAGAAAAATAAATAAAAAAACAACAATAATAATAATAAAGTTTTGAGCTGTTGGGAGTTTTATTGAGAAAGAACAAGAACAACGGGCAGAGAGGGAGGGTATAATATAAAGAACAATATTCTAAAGCAACTTTGAAGGTTTCTTCTTAGTTGTGTTGAATTGAACCGTTATTGGGAAAAGGCAAAGAGAAGGATGGGGAATCTGCTTCCAAGCTTTTGCATTTCATCCATTCCTAAAAAATCAGATGAGTTCCAAAAAGGGGAAGAAAATGAAAATGAAAATGAAAACGAAAATGAAAATGAAATTAAAGATGAAAGAATAGAAAAGAAAGCCCTAAATAAATCATTGAGCGAATTCAGAAACCATAATCTGCTGGTGGGATGGTCACATCCATCCAAACACGACCCAACCAGCTGCAGTGGACAGAAACACAGACACCATCCCAAGAATCTTCATCAGAGTCCCCCATTACAGCATTTGGGCTGAGATCAAGCTCGTCTCCAAAGAGAGAATGGAAGAAGAAGAAGAAGAAGAAGAAGAAGAAGGGGAAAGAGATAAGTAGTTTGTGTAGTGTTTGCAGAGAGTGGTTGAGGTGCAGTGGAGACTACTGGGCACCCCGGGGACACCAGAACAAAAGCAGAAAGCAGCGTGACTGCGAGTGTGCGTTTGTCTTTGTGGCCCTTCCAAAAACAAAAACACCACCACCAGCAACAACGACAACATCAACATAAAAAAAACATTGTATTGTAAAATACTACTAAAATGCAACCATCTACCCCCCCCCTCCTAACCCTTTTCACATCATCAATCTTCCCTAGATATTCAATTATACAATTTTAATAGTAATTTACTTTTTTCCTTTTAAATTCACAATTTACCAAAATATCTATGACAATCTTATTTTCAGTGAAAAAAAAAAAACTACTCTGTATAATCAAAATTTCTAAACTTTTCTAACTCTTCATTGCAATTATATCTTCATAAATGGAAATAAATTTACGTGTTGGATTAGAACAACTATTAACTGATGCACATTTTGTTGATGTTGATTAATTTAATTCTATAATATACTTTTATTTTCTGTTCAAACATTGTTTAATGAACGGAAGTAATAATTTACAAGTAATAGATTGAGATTAAAATAGTTTTTTTTTTAATATCAACTATGAATAAATAATATTTTACATAAAGTTTGTGTCTTATCATGTAATCTCGAGTGAGGGGTTCCATTATTAATTAAGCTTACGTAGGGATGACAGAATGAGAAGTTAGTTCCATTAAGTTCTGTTCATGATTTTTTTTTAAAGTCCATTTTTTTATTTCGGTAAAAGAAAAACTCAAAGTCCGGTTTGAATTTGCGTTTGACACAAACTCAAATAAAGAAAGTAAAAAAAAGCCTTGAATAGGTCTACTATTTATTCCAACCTAAAATTTAATGTCCTTGTTCCAGCTGGCTAGATATTTTAACAAAGAAGTGATTTTAATGTAAAATAATTTAGTAATTAATTTTTAGCAAATTCAAAAATATTAATTCCTTAAAATGTATTTAAAATTATATTTTCTTTAATTAATCCAGTTTTATATTATATTTACGCTTTGATTAAAAAAATGTATTTTTACAACAATGACTGTTTGTTGTATTAAAAAAAAATCTACAAGAGAAAATGCACCCTTAATCAAGTTTGCATGATAAAACCAGAAATAACGGATAAGAATTTCTACGTTTACTTTCACATTTTACTTTAAAAAAAATATCAAGTTTTTTAGTAGAAAAAACATATTTTACCATCATATATTTAAATATTCGTAAATCTTATCAATATATTAAATAATAAAATATGATACCTTAAGCAATATTGTTTTTATTGTCCGAAACGGGAAAAAATTCCAGTAAAATATGCAGAAAAAAAAGTTGAAGTAAGAAAAATTTGTATGATAATTTAGTGATAAAACGTAGAATGGGAGAAAAGAAATACAAATATTTATTTACAAGTATGTATGGAAAAGAGAAAAAGGAAAGTTGATAAAGGCACACATGAGTGATGAGATGACCAAAAAGAATATAAATAAATAAAGGTGCACACACACGAGTGAGTGTGAGGGTTTTTACACTTATGACCCTACTTATTTTGCTTAAATACCAAAATGTCCTGTACCAAAAGCAATGTGATGTGATGATGATAGAGGCTTGTTTGGTTGGAGTGGAGAGCAGAAATACTTGTGAATCAATTCAATGAGAAATGAGGATGATCCATGCATCAATATCAACCTATTACAAATACAACCAACTGCATTCATCATTCCTCAACTTGTAATCTTTTTCACAGTTGAAATTTTGTTAACACAATCAATAATCACCCTTTTCTATGACAAAACTAACAATGCTTTCATCAATTTCTCTCTCATCCAACACCATTTCCCTAATCTAGCTGCATGATTGAGCTGGCTGAAATCACTCCTGCATCATTATATGGAGAAAACAAACTTTTCATTCAAAAGCTTTAAAGATAATACTTTAACCCGTGTTAGCTTGGTTTAGGCTGAACAAGTTTTGGGTCTCCACTTTCACGGAAAAAGAAAGGCACTTCCGAGTGATGTAGGGGACCGAATGAATGTTAAGATTGAAAGGGAGTAGTTCTATGATTTCACAAATGTTGAGTATGCATGTATGAGTTTGTTATTGGATATCCTTTCATGTGTTAAAAAATTATGTATAATTATGAAATTATGTTAAAATATTTGAATATATGAAATATGTAAAATCAAATAATTGAGAGATTTGTATGATAAAAAAACTTTTTTAAAATGGAAAAATATAATAAAAGTTTTCATCAATTAGACCTATAATGACATTAATTTTATTATTGGATTTGTATATTTAAGAGAGTGAAGCCAAATTTATATTTTCTATCTTTATCTTTTTACACCTCTTTCTCAAAAGTAAACCGGGAACTTAACATCCCTCCCACTGAATGCCTTGTACATATTTGCGTTGCTTCCACATTACTCACTTATATATAAACAAATAAATATTTATTATTAATTGAAGAACAAAGTACCATTTCCACTTAAAGATATAAGCTCAGACTAATTCATTTTTAAAATAATTATAGTAATGTTTATGTTAACATCAATTGATTAATAATATTTTAAGTCCTGTTTATCTCCTTGATTTAATGTCGTGTTAACATTTTTATTAATACAAAAACCAAATCGTTTTAATAAAAAAAATGAACACAGGGAGTTTGAGAATGCAAGGATTATGAGAAAAATAAACAAAAGAATATATTTTATTTTACCAGTGATGCCATTTTTCAGTGAAAAAAGTGGTGTATGATGGATTATCTATCGATGTGAAACTGAATAATAGATTAAAAGAAAAAAAATGAAGGATTTGAATAAACCAATTCATTAATACTTGGGTGATGAGAAAATTATTGTATCGTCTTTCATGTTTTCAAGAGTTTTATGATGGCATAGTCCAAGAATATATATATATATATATATATATATATATATATATATATATATATATATATATATATATTTATTTATTTATTTATTTTACCAAGGGTATTTTTTTTTTAATTTATCAAAATGATATAAAATTTTTAAAAATTAGAGATTTTAATCAAGTCGTTGTATCGGGCGGTGCATGAAAAAGTTGTATTTTATACTAAGATTTAAGTTTTTTATACTGTCTTTTTTTTAAAAAAAACAAATAGGACTATAAAGTAGTATTATAATTCCAATTTTATATTATAATAATAATTATATTATTATAATTAATAATAATAATAATATGTTTTATATTATTAATATTAAAAATAAATAATAATAATTTAATATATATATATAATTATTAAAATTATTATTTATTATTTTATTAATATTATATTATTATTAAAAATAAAATAAAAATAATATCATTAAAATTAATAATATTAAAAATAATATAATTATAATTACTAAAATCATTTTAATAATGTTATTAATAATAGAAAAAAGTAATAATAATATAATTATAGTTATATAAAATAAAAATAATATTAATAATAAAGTAATTATATTAATAATTATAATTCTTATTATTATTATTATTATTTAATAATAATAAAAGTTTTTAATAATGATTTATTATTAATATTATTATGATTTTTATTTATAAATAATAACTATTTATTTAATAATAATATAATTTTATTAATAATCATTCATTATATAATAATAATAATAATTAAATTTACATATATAATTATATTAATAATTGTTACATTAATAATATAAATTAAATTGTCATCATTATTATTTATTTATTATTAATAATATAAAATATATTATTTTTAATTATAATAACTATTATAATATAAAATTAGAATGGGTACTCGCTAATATGAAATTTATATAGAAGTGATGGTATCTAGCATGACTTCTTCGATTTTTTTCTTTAAAAAAAAGAAAAAATTATATTATATTATAAAATGTAACTTCTTCACTTCTTTATCTTTAAAAAAAAAATTAAATCATATTATAAAATATAACTTTTTCGTGAAGAGTGGTGTTTGATAAAACAACTTACACAAATCCGTAATTTTTTTAAAATTTACATCATTTTGGTAAATTTTTTAAAAAATTACACCCTTTAGTTAATAATCACATTTATTATTATAGCTAGCCACATGTTCACATGATGATGCAATAATAACAATTTCACCTCTCATTCTTTATAAGATATTCATCTTCAATAACATAACAAACAAACTACCATAAATAAACAAGACAATATAGTTATAAGAAATTCTAAATTAAAGAGAAATCATTATATAAGAAGACTAAACAAATGTAAATTTGTAGTAAAATTTAGTTGATAAGAGTGCAATCAAAATCATTAATGTATTAGATACTATATTATATATTATAATTTATCTTAGTAGAAATAAAGCTTTAATAATTATCATTTATAAAATTGAGTGAATTTTTCTTTTTATAAAAAGTGGTATTTCTTATTTATCTTAAATTTTCAAAGCTATTTTTTTAAAATTAAAGTGTACAAAGTTTCATATTAAATAAAAATAATAAAATTGAGTAATATAAAAAAATCTACAAATTAATTATTTTTATTTGATGTCATATTCTTTTTTATAATTAGACAGTGTCTTATTAGTCATGTGTAGCCGTTAAACTTAATGTTAACGCTGGTAATAAATAATGATTGAATTTTTAAAAGGTTGAAATTGTTTGAGTTTAGGATTTCACCACATGAAATAAATAATGTGCCTCGTTATCTTTTGAAAGTTAGCTTATTACATATAATTCATGGAGGGCGAAGTTCTTTTGTTACTTTTTCAAGACCATTTCTATGTACGTTACTTTGTTTCTAAAGTTTCAACCATGATAACCTATTATATATCTACCCGTTGTTTCTTATTTTTCTTGTCATTTGGTCAAGGGTACCTAAAATGAACAAAGTTCAACTCCTTCAACCCATTTATAAAAGCCCAACAAACCTAAATAGAAGAATAGAGAAATGATGTCATACAAATGATGATTCCAATAGTTATTCCTTTTTTACTAGTAATTGTCACATTGCAATGAGAAAAAAAAAAAAATATATATATATATATATATATATATATATATATATATATATATATATATATATATATATGAAAATTGTTGCTATGAAGAATGAATTCATATGGTGTTGGAGATCAAAGAAGACGTGTGGAAGAAAAAGGAAGATCAAAACTAGGGAAAAAAATGATGTGCCAACTCACATATATAAGTTTTCTTCTGGTCATTTGTTAAGATAAATTGATATATATATTGAAAACTTTAAGACAAGAGACTGTTAAAAGAAGCGAACATATCATGTGTAAAATTTGAATGTACGGGTTATACTTCTCTTACTCCATAGTAGTAATAAAATTTCTTCTGCTATTAGAAAAAAAAAAATTGTCAAATGAACCCAAATGTATATAGATTACATAATCAATTAACAAAATGTGTTTTTGGTTTGGGGGAACACAACACTAACCCCCGCCGCTACAAGCTAGTTTAATCTTCCCTTGGGTAACCAAGATTGTAATAACAAGTGAATAACTAAATGTTACAAGTAATGCATGCATGCCATATGCATATATGTTTCCATGAGTAAGAAACCCATCTAAGGCTAAACCAAACTACACATGTTAAAAAAAAAAAGTGAGCATTACTTTGGCATTGCACGCTTATCTTTAGAAAGTGAGATATTGGGAGGAACCTCATCTAATTGTGATGTAATAATATTCATATCTTCTTCTTCGTCTTGTTGTTGATGTTGTTGTGGTGACACAGAAAATATTGATTTTGTCTGTGAGCCTTGATGATATAAGGGGGAGCGTGGGGACTTGGGCAACTGTACCCTTGGAACTCCACTGGCAGTAGTGCAACTGGTATCTATGGGATAAAGTTCTGTGACTTCTTCCATGCCTTCTATGCTTTCATCAAAATACACCACGTCCTGCATACTCAACTGATGGTACTCCACAATTTCCCGTAGAAAACGATTCTCCCTGGCATATACCTCATTCTCACTAGCTAACCTACCCTTCTCAGCAAGAAGTGTCTCCAGTTGAAGCCGGATCTACTCCATCACAATGTTAAATTAATAACATTATATACATTTGAACAAAAACTTTATTAATTATAAATGCTAACCAAATCATCATCTGCACGGTTGACGTTTTGTCCCTTCTCGCTGCCCTCACGATCGCGGAGTATTTTATTTTCTTCTTCTAGTTGAGCACACCGTGCTTTAGAGAAAGCCAAATCTGCTTTAACGGTTTTTAGCTCTCGCAGAAGTAATTTTGCTTTGGCTGCTGTTGCCATTGCCACCTGCCACCCAACCAAAACCAAAGAACCTTGCGTGTCATGTCATTAGAGAAACCAGAACCATCGAATATGAATTAATTAATCATATATATCATCATGAAACCAAATCTTTCGTATGTTTTTTTTACTGCGCGAAGCAGTGGCACGCAATTAATTACATAGTTGCTAGAGCCACCTTACGTCGCGAGATGCCTTGAGTTGTGTTTCATGGATAGTTTGAGGGTCTCCTGTCTGAGCTGGTTGTTGCCATGGATTCCACTTCCTAGGAGCTTGGTTTGACTTTGAGCCCTTTGGAGAAATTCCTTTTAGCTTGATTGGAGATCTGGGTTGTGCTAGTTTACTCTCCATACCCTCCTGAACCATCATTAACTATAAGGGTTATTGAGAAAAAGCGTATATTTTAAACAATAATGCAGTATATAGTACGTACGCGAGGACGAGCATGAGGAGCAAATGTATTCAAAGAGTGTATTTTGAGTTTTTCAGGGACGATGCCGTCGCGTTGCAGGTGTGGGGATGCCTTATCGTCCTCCAGAATTTCTTTGGCTTTCTGAGCGAGGACACCCCACACACCAGATTTGGAAACATCCCCCACGTAAGTATCAGTGCTCTGCATGCAAAAATATTGATTATCAATTATATGATAAAATTATGCATGGAAATGGCCTGGTAAGAAAATGAAGGGGATGAACCTTGCATCTGTGATGGTCATGTTCAGATTTGGCGGAAGTAAAGTGAAGAGAGGGATCACGACGAGCAGTAGAGGCTTTGATGGCCTGAGCAGCGAGGGAGGATGAGGAAGATGATGAGGAAGATGGAGTGAAGGATAAGGAAGAGGTCAGAGAGGGACGAGGGTGAGAATCTGCATGAGAACGAGTCTCTTCCTTGAAAGTGGAAGCTCTGGATATTCCATGTTTTCTCCGATATGCCATTGCCTTGTCGCCACCACCACCACAACCACTGCTAGAACACCACGATGATCACGATCACGATCACAAGCAAAACACAAACCAACCCTTTCTCTTCCAAATTTCAACTCATAACCATTCCTTTCCCATTTTCAATCTCACCATCATTTAACACATAAGTGGCTGCTTCAAACGTAGGACTCGTAGCAATTCACGCTCACCCTTATCTATATTTTACTTTCATTTTTTTATATAGCCTCTAACATTCCCCTCCACTTCTATCCATCATATATATATATATATATATATATATATATATATATATATATATATATATATATGATTTTTCTACCCATTCACCTCCATAATTAATATATGTCTATATATTAGATGTACTATGAACATATTATAAAAATTATTATAAATTATTGTTTATTTGTTAGATCATGTAAAGATCATAGATAGTGTAAACAATAATTTCTTAAACATTTTAATGTCTAAAGATTCAATTTTTATGTATTTGTTGCAAATTTAAAAGAAGTCTACTATAAAGCATTGTTATAAATTTTGTTGAAAATTTTAAACATTTTAAAATGTAAAAGAATGTTAATTTTTAAAAAATAATAAAATTTGAAATTTAATACTATCAAAATCTAAAAGAAGCCGTGTATTAGGTTTGCATACTTTCATAATTTTCCAATATTAATTTCATAAAATTTTACTATCATAAGTTTTATTTTGTATTTAATATATTTTTTTATATTTTATTACGTTAGAGACAAGATAATAAGAAATTGTGCGTCTAAAAACATTTTTTAAGATTATTTTCATTAAATTTATCAGTAATTAAATTAAAAAAAATTAGTGATGAAATAAATTGTTCACAAAATAATAAAAAATTATCAAAAATATTGATGACAAATTGAGTAAAAAAATACTGTTTGAAAATTGTTTTCATCTGTAAAATATGATTTTCTTTAATTCATTTTAAATTATCTTTTATCACTAATTAAGAGGAAATAATTCATTGTAAATTAGTATATATTCTAGTTAAGTAAATATATTATCACAATTTATGATGACTTGATCTGTCATATAAATTTTTTGCGACAATTTTTTTCAAGGCAAATTATAAGGTATGAAATCATGGTTACTTAAACTGTGATTTATTAAAATTTGTTTGATGACTTATTCCAAAACAAATTGTAATGCATAATTCTATATTATCCAAAAAATAATAATAAATAATTTTCAAATTTACAAATATATTTATATAAATACATTATCTATTATGAACATTTTTTATACTAATATATGTTATTTAGAACAGTTAATTATATATATATATATATATATATATATATATATATATATCAACATATTTTATTTAATATTAGTTATTTTTTATCATCTCTGTATAATAAAATATTAGTTAAGACATACATTCCATATATATTATAATCCTATATATTGCATTAGTATATCCTTTTTTTCCTTTATTTAGATAGAATAATTAGTGTTAATTAATAATTTTACACAAAAGAATTCAAAAAATCAATAAGTTGGTGAATAAATTCAATAAATGAGATTAAAATTATTAAAAAAATAATTAATATTTTAAGGTTATTTATTATTATATTATTATTATTGATTAAATATTTAAGATAGTAAGAGATTAAAATAACAACAAACTGACATTCCAAGTTTTATTCTACCCAAATCACATTCACAAAATCATGAATATCATAATTATCATATATCAATTATTCACATAATACGTAAATAAATATTATTTGTTTATGTTAAAAGATACAAGTTGGTGTTTTATTATCCATGCTTTTAGATGGAAAACCAAATAAAAAAAATATGATTAAAAAAACATCCCAAAATATAAATAAGATAACTTTTTTATATCTCAATTTTGTATTTATAAAACATTTTCATATCAATGTTTCTTTTTAAGATCACTTACTCTCATGGAGCTTTGCCATGACCAAATTTACAAACATGAAGTATGAAGTCATTCTAACTTTATAAGTAATTTGTTAATTAAATCTACATTTTTCATATAGTTTAATTACTTCAATATAGAACAGTTAAACATTTAGTTTAAGATTATAATTTGTACATACATGAAACAACTAGGCATCAATCATAACTAACATAATTACAAGAAAATGTAAAATTATTGAGGAAATATAATTCATTAATAAATTTAAATTACTGACAGTTTTTTTTTAATAATTTACAAATTTATAGATAAATATGTACCTTGTACCGATAGAAAAATCAAAATTGTAGGAAATTTTTGTATATTTTTACGAAAAAATAATCTGCGATAATATTGGAAATTCTGTAGGTAATATAAAAAGAATTTGTCACTATTATTAACAAAGTCATCGATATATATATATATATATATATATATATATATATATAATTATATTAAACCTTTTTTTTAATTAAATGTCTTAAGAAAATGTAAACATTGTAAAAATGAATGAATGCTACAAAATAAAAATTTTGAATTTTTAAAAGTTTAAAATTATTTTTTGTGAAATAAGTAAGGATGCAAAATGATTATTAAATTATAAAAACAAATTTTAAAGATTTAGTTGATGAAAAATAACTTATGACTAAAAATCATGTTTTCACATAATAAATATGATTTTAATTAGATATCAAAACATGAATCATATATATTATTTGAAATTTTATTTTTAATTAAGGAAAAAAATTATATAGTTTGTATAAATTAAAATGCAACCATTGTTGAATAATTGAATTTTTATGTTTAAAACCAAATTATTTGATTTTATGATTGAATTGTAACATTTTTTTCATCACTCATTGTGGACTAAAAACCTTCAGTAAAGATAATATATATATATATATATATATATATATATATATATATATATATATATATATATTAAAATATATTATTTATTTATTATTCAAACCTAATTCTTTTTATGTACCCCACATCTAACATTTTTTTTCCTCCATTGATAAATGCAATACATCCTATGACATTAATATGTCAAAATTAATTCAAATATTTTTTATATAAGCATAAATTTTCTTTTTAAATTATGAAAAAATTTAACTAATACATATATTATTGAATCATATATGCATTAAAGTATGAATTAAAAAATAAGGTATTATTTGTTTAATAAAAAATATTTCTATAATAACTATTAAAATATATATATATATATATATATATATATATATTAAATCATGAATTATTTAATAAATAAATATTAATGTATCATATATTTAAATAATAAATATTAATCAAATAATTATTTAATTAATAAATATTAATATACTAATTAATTAGTTAATAAATATGAATCTTATATTCATTTAATTAATAAATATTAATCTAATATTTATTTACTTCATAAATATACATTTTCCTTTATATAATTATTTAATATTAAATATTAATTATTTCATTAATAAATATTAAAAGATTAATTATTAAATTAATAATATTTTAATAACTGATATATATATTAAAATTTAATTATATATACAATTATTTAAATATAATTTTAGATAAAATACTAATTTTAGTCTTTAATATTTTTGGAACAACTTTCTCATACTTATCGAGGTGAGAATGAAAGCCGGAAACATTAGAATTATGCTTCTAATTCCTTATATAACCCTACTTAAGCTTCTAATTCCTTATATAACCCTAAAGACATCTTTCAACCTAGTCAATGACTTTGTGGGAGTAAAGAGGAGATTCATCAAATAAAAGAGAACAATGACTGAATCCTTCAATTTCAATATTCCTTTGCTAATGTAACACATAAATTTATTTTCTCAATAATACCGGTTGAACTAACACCAATTAAATGAGCAACATAAAAAAGATGACTATGAAAAATAAGAAGATGACCATTGAAAAATAAAAATAAACATTAATTAGGGAGGACAAAATAGGCTAGTCCGTTTCGTTTTGGCTTGTTCTTTTCTAGCCTACCAAAAATGAGGTGGGTTGGTCCAGTCAAAGTTAGGACGAAGTTATAAACTTTAACTTGTTAATATTTTTTTAAAATAAAAATTTTTATATGTAATTTTTTTAAATGTATCTTTAATTATATGAATAATTTTTATTTATTAATTAGTATTTTTATTATATAAATTCAAAAAATTATTATATTATGTGTTAAAATAATTAATTATTATCAATAATTTAAACTTAATTGATTAATTTTTATAATTTAAATTATAATATTATAATATATTTACATATTTCAATAACATAATACAACAAAATATAATATTTTAATTATAATCATTTTTGTTTTAATTTTACTATATATATATATTAAGCGAAGCAACCAGTCCTATCCACTCTTATCCCATCAAATTGGTGAGCTAGGTGGAGTAGGCTTAAACGAGTTAGTGAACTAAAATCATCAACTTATGTTGCTAATTTTTGGATGAGTTGGGAGACCGACCCGCCATACTTAATCCATTTTTTCATCCCTACCATAAACCATAAATGATCAAGATAAATAAGATCCACAACAACCAAATTTTTGTTATAATTATTCAAATTATTAGATAGTATTAAAAATAATTATTAAACTTATTTGAGGTTTATGTAGTTCACACTTATAATATAAACTTTATATCATGTGTTAGTATTATGAGAAATGTTATCGAAATGATTTTGGTTAAATGTATTGTCCAATGACCATAATTTAGATTGAATAACATTATGATTGTTTAATGATAATGATGATGAATTGAATAATTTGTATTATGCTCAATTGATTATGGTGATTGTGTTGTGATGTATATTATATACAAAAATATTTGTATAAAATATTAAAACAAAACGGGTTGATAAAATAAAAGAATTATGAACAAATTTTTTTACATGTATTAATTTAATTATTGATGGATAAATTCATAGATAAGCACTTATATTAATATTTCATTAGTAATTATTAACAAAATTATGTATGAATTTTTTTGGTGATTACTAACATAAAATAATTCGTCAATAAATTCTATCAAAAACAATATTATCAACAAAAAATTGTTTGTAGATCCATTAAAAAAACCTATTTATTGGCAAAAATTATTTATTACCAAGAAAGACAAAATCCGTCGACAATACCCAAATTTCTTATAATGATATATCAATCAAATTTGCTTAAGAACATCATGCATAAGAGCATTGAGAGACTTATTTTAACTAAAAATTGGATTACTACCATAATTTTAGTAATAGTATTTTACTTGAACTACATGCTATTTTTATAATATATTATGTTAGACTAATATTTTCTTGCTCAATAAAGTAAACAAATCAAAAGTTACGTAGAAAGTTAAGCCATTAAGGTAATTGCTTTATAAATTATCCAATCACTAGTATTATGTTTAATGACTTCAAAGAGTGGTGTACAAATTGGTTAGAGGACCCATATAAAAACTCCTTGATAGCTCCCTTGAGTAGAAAATGTACATCTTGTCATTACAATTTTTGTTGTGAAATCTTATGTTATTGTGATGAATTTAATTAGTTATGTCTTTAAATATGGAAGGTTCAAACAAAAAGGTAAAAGTCTTTGAAACAATTTGGTATAATTTTAAAATCTTCATGTGAGCAACTACTATCATTTGTTAGACACATTATTGGCCAACCACCAGCTATATATTTAAAATAAAAAAAATGACTTGTTTTACATATGATTTATGTTGAACAGGACAATAAACATCATTACTTTTTATTCTATGAGGTTGTGAATATACTCAAAATGATTGTCTGACATTGATTCTAACACGTCACTAGCTTAAGATTTTTTTATGATTAGTACTAACAAATTTTCTTAATTAGTCAATTTTGACATATCCAATAATGTCCTCTAAGATTTTGTATCAATTTCTTTAGTTTCTTGATCTAAACAAGTAAAACCTATAGCATAAGCTTGTGAATAACATGTATTAATGCGAAAACACTTGTTAAAAAATTCTTTACCACATCTTAATCTTAGAGGCTACTTGTGACATCCCAAAGTATTACCATTTAAGGGATTATAGTCTTTAGGGTTGTCAATATAGACTTAGGTCGATGAATCAACTCAAAATGTTCGAAAAAATAGGTGAAGTTAGGCCACAAAACTTATGACCTAAATAGAACCAGACAAATTTTGACTTGACCTATTTAGGTTAGGCTTGAATAGGGTTAGGTTAGACTAGTCCGTAAACTTATGGACTGACCCGTTTTATAAAATAATAATTATTTTACCAATAAAATATAAGTAATATTATTTTATTAGAAAATATATGTATAATAAATTAATTTGATAATATATATATATATATATATATATATAATTTAGAAAAAATAACAAACTCTAAACATAACTTTTATTTGCTTTGGTAATTTTCTTCTCTATTATTGTTGTCATATTTGCTTTTCAGGACCAATAATTTAAGATGACATATTATTAAATATAATGTATTTTCAAAGTAATGTTGTTAGCTTGTTGTAGTAATGAAAATTTGGCTCTAAAATTTATCGAGATGCACTTGCTAGATGCATTATTAAACATGATATTCAATTTAGCTATGTTGAGTATGAGGGAGTTTGAGAGGTAAATAAAGTTTTGAACCCTGATTTCAAACAAATTACTAGAAACACTTCAATTACAATTTATAACGGGTATTTAACAAAAAAAAAAGTTAAAAGATGTGTTATCTAATATTTCTGGTAAGATATTTTAAATCAATTACTAGAAACACTTCAATTACAGACGTTTACAATGTTTATTTAACTGAAAAGAAAAAGCTAAAAGATGTCTTATCTAATTTGTTAGGATATGTATTTAACTTAAGACTACATTCTCATTTTTATGATTTATATACATTTGATTTTATTTTGCCTGGATAGGTTATGAGTTAATTTAAATAAACAAATGAATGACATTTTTTTTTACAAACAAAATTAAAAGACAAATTGTATAAATAGAAAAAATTATTTTTAATTAGGCCAAAAATAGTTCATTAGCCCGTTAACCCGTTGGCCTAACATAGGGGCATGCTCGGTCAAAATTTTTGGCCCATTTTAAAATATAGGTCAAACTGGGCTATTAGATTTTTTTTACTTAGCTCATAGGACCAGGTCAGGTTGGACTGCCCATTTTGACATCCCTAACCGTATTTATCTTTTTAATTATTCAATGTCCCTTTAATTACTTTCCTTCCATTCTTGAGGCTTATTATGTCATTAGGATAATTAGGAAACTGATGAAAATAATAGTTAGACATCACAGAATAGGTAATAATTGTATTACAAGTATCCTTCTCTAGTTTACTTGGAGCAGAAGTAAATGTTGTACACCCATGGTAATTCCTTTCAGCTATATTTTGAGCAATGGGTCATAAATATTTGGTAAACAACAGTAAACTATCTTTGTAACCAATATCTTGTTCACCAACCTATATAAAGATAAGGAAAATAACAATGTATGATCATTCCACACTAGAATTTATATTAATTTTGTTAAATTGAATTTATACATTAGTCAAGGAGAAAAATAATACTCACATGCTTAATAAGTTTTAGTTTACCATGTATTGTCAAAAATATCTATTTATCCTTATTAAAGGATAAAGATTTATAAATATGATGCTTATCAATCTTAAAAGATTTGCATGTGTTACTCTCTTTAGTACCCGATAAAACATACACTAGAGATGATTATATCAGATAATGAACTAGTCATCACTAGAAGTTGTACTCAAGTTCAATGAAAATTTAATGATGATATTTTTCAAGTTGACTTTTAGTGTTGCCTAACAACACTTTGGGGGTAATCCTTGGAATGTAATGATTTAAAACATTAGGAGAGATAAACTAAAATTGTGGCCAATTGACAATGAAATTTGAACACAATGGCAAACTAGTTCGCTTACAAGGTGAACTTCTTTCAAATGATATTTGCGAACTAATAGGTAAGCTTAAGCTAACTCAATGTCATGTCGTGTTATTGGCCTTACAAGGACCATTATGCTACAATGATTCAGTAGATGAAGATCTTCATAAATTACCCCATAGCCAACAATCTGAATCGATTAAACTATTAGATAACTATCAACAATTATTCAAGAAGCCCACAACTCTTCCTCAAAAAAGAAGGTATGATCATCAGATTTCTTTGGTCAATGATAAACCATTTTGTTTAAAACCATACAAGTATCCACATACCTAAAAAGAAGAAATAGAAAGGCAGGTTAAGGCCTTGCTTACAATTGGTTTTATCACAGAAAGTGAAAGTTGTTATGCATCTCCTTTCGTGTTGGTAAAGAAAAAAGATGGTTCATGGAGATGTTGTACTGAGTTTCAAAAACTAAATGTTTTGACAATGAAAAACATGTTTCCTATGCCCTTGATAAAAGATATATTAAATGAGGTCCATTATTTCTCCAAGTTAGATATACAAAGTGACTATAACCAAGAGAGAATGTCAGGGGTGAATATTCATAAAATAACTTTTTGAACTCATAGTGGACACTACAAATGGGTGGTCTTACCTTTTGAATTAAGTAATGCACCAATCACATTGCAAAATTTGATGAATGATATATTTAGGGAGCATCTCAAGAAGTTCATTTTGGTATTTTTTGATAATATTTTAGTCTATACAAAGTCACGGTCCGATCACATTCAATGTTTGTGCACCATCATCCAAATATTACAAGAGCACAAATTGGTTCTCAACTATAAAAAATACAGCTTTGGAAAAACAAAAATAGTTTACTTGGGTCGTTTGATCTCCTTTAAAGGTGTGCAGCCAGATCTAGGTAAGATTCATGCCACTCAGCACCGACTAAAACCAATGTCAGTTAATGAATTGAGAGGTTTTTTGAGTCTATCTACCTATTATAGAAGGTCTATACATATAGAAAGATTGCTAAACCATTGAAAAAATTATTGCACAAAGATACTAAGTTTAGATGGAATGAAAATATAGAAACAACATTTGTTAAGTTAAAAGTGGCTTTAACATCAACTCCTATATTGACTCTGCCTGAGTTTGGTCAACCGTTCACTATAGAAATAAATGTGTCAGGAGTAGGCAAGGGTGTTGTGCTCCTTCAAAAAGGCTATCCAGTTGACTACATCAACAAAGCCATGGGTCCTAAATATCAACTTCTTTTAGCTTATGAGCAGTTTTATGCTATATTGCAGTGAAGAAATGGTAGCATTATTTCCTTAAACAACATTTTATAACAAAGACGGGTTAAAAAGAACTAAAACACCTACTAGAGCAACCTCTAACAACATTGATGCAGAATCGAGACTAGACACTACAAAAAAATGGATATTATCTACAAAATATTACCTACGGATAAAAATCCATAGGTAAAATATACATTACATATGGATATTACCTACGAAATTATATCCGTATGTAAATTATCCATTACCTAGGAAGTTTACCTATGGATAAAATGATTGTGCATTACCTACAAATGTAGGAGGTAGGTAATGCTTATTTACTACTTTACCTACTCATTTATCTACGGATGTGTAATTAAAAAAAAAACATGTAAATTTTCATCCCTTCGCGTGTGGCCACCCCCCTCCTTTTGAACCAAACTCTGCTCTCTCTCCCCTATCCCGACCTTACTCACCATTCATCACCATTTTTACAGCCACCATCTCCCTTCTTAAATCACCCCCCGACTAACCCCAACCACCCACTCTCTAGCTATTCACCGCCTGCACCCCTAGGCTCCTCGGTCTCACCCTCCAGACGTGCCTTAGCCCCTTCACTCTGACCCTCATTTCACACACGTGACTCAGGGCCTTCATGGGAGCCTTCTCCTCCCGGTAACCCTAGCCGCATCTCACCGCCCCCCGGTCTACCCTCACTCACCTACACCAAGCATCCCAACTCCCTGCACCGACCACCACTAACCAGCACCCATCACCGTGGCCATCATCACACGACCCTAGATCTGCGTGGCACAATCGTCACCACGCTCTTTCCCCTTCTCCCCTCACCATCGCATCCGCCCACGCCTCCTCCATTAAGGCCAAGTACCCCTCTGTCTTCGCTAGCCTCTCCTCAGCTCTACCACTTCCTAACCACCACTTCTCTATCTCACCCAAATCACCACCGCACCAGCCGTAACCCTCTCTGCAACCACCATCCTTGCGATCTAAATCGTCACCTAAAGTCATCTGCCAACTGCACCCACGATTTTGTCCGAGCCGAGGAGGTT